GTGTGAAAATTCTCGATTTTATTATTCATATTATATTTAACTTTATAATGCTATAACTTATTGAAAAGTTTATGGATCCACACAATTTTTTTATGAGAAATAATATTTTTTAATAAACCCTTTTTCATTCGACATACTTTATCTTAATCGAGATATTAAGGAACCAGCAGATCAAGTAGCTTTTGGAATAAAACACCATTTTTTTTTAAATTAAACACTATCTAAAGATTTGCATCGAAGCGTTTATTTTTGATAGTGATTTTAATCACTGTCAGATATCATTATACTTGATCCAACTATACCACGTCACAATTGTGCCGCGACCCCCCTGTGTTGGGTTTTTTTAGTCCTATTTTATTGAGTAAATACTCAAAATCAGATGCAGACATTCGGCAAAAGTTCTCAAACTTTCCGGATGGTTCGCGCCTTAAATCTGTCATCATATTTGTTGCGCTGTACCTTTAAAATTTATTTATATTAATTGTAGTAAAAATGTTTTAAAGTGTTGAAGGAGCATTATGTATTATTCGAGTATTTTCATTATAATGGAAGTCAGAAAAAATTTTAAAAAGAAAAAAATTCTTTGTTATTAAAATACATATTATTAAAAAAGTTAACTCTAATTTATTTTTTTCAAACACTTGTTACTATGTTAAAACATATATTTGTTTTTTTTTACTTCGCTGAAATAACTCTACAAAAATTTAATTTAACGAATTTAATTTAGCAATATATAAACTTGCTCATTCTGACTGGAGTTTTTTAAAATATATTTTATTACAAAAATAATGAAATATAATTTTTATATAATCCAGAAGTGTTATTAAACTTTGAGTATAACTACACGCAATGATATCAGCTATATTTACTACTAGTATTAATTCGTTTCTTTAAATGACTAAAAATTGTCGATTAAATTAAACTATTGATAACTATACTATTGTTTATTATTTCTTATCTATTATTGTTGTAAAAGTTTTTTCAACTTAAAAATAAGTCACAAGCCACTTTTTTGCACGACAGCAACGAATTAATTATTCATATTATAGTTGAGTATAATTAAAATTCTAAAAATTATACATAAAAAAAGAAAATTTACTTTGGTAGGAAATATTAATAAATTATTTTACTACTTAAAATCGATTAATAAATGTAATTTACTAGTTTTTAACGTAAAATTAATAAAAACAACTTACCTTTGTCTGCCTTTATATAACTATGTCATCCACCATCTTTATTTTTTGTATTTTTTTTTCAATTAATTGTTAGTACTTTAAGTACTCTCCACACATAATTATGTATGAAGCATAAATAGCCATTTTATCATTATCACTAGCTATTTTAATTAACTTAAGGTTAATTAGATAAATAAAAACTAAAAATTATAGTTAAAGTTAAAGAACTATTTTAACTAAAAAAATATTGAACTAAAAGGTATCAAAACTAGCAATACTAAAAAATGTATTTTAAATCACTCACTGAAACACTGCAGCGCTAAAAAATCAAATGATACATGACTTAATATTTTTCAGGTCCCACCCCCAATACAATTATTTGGCATTTGATCCAGTCGTAGGAATAATATATTTGGCTTTTATTTATTACTTGTACAAGTGTACAAGTACTGGTATACTTTTCAAGTATACTAGTCACGGGAACGCTCCATTTGTTGATAATTGGATGATTTGGCAAGTATACAATTATTGGTATACTTGGCAAGTACACCAGTCATGGGAATCCGCTTTAAATTGCATAAAATCATTCCATGAGCCATAAATCTTACAATAATGAACTATACTTTTAAACCTATTTAATTATTAATAAAATCTCAGTCATAAAAATGATAAAACATTGAGTGATTGCAATAATTTACAACATAATATATTTAAAAAAAGGGATTTTTTAAAACTAATTTTATGTTGGTTTCGGTAAAATACGAAAGTTGAAATTTTTACCATAGAAAGTCAACATGTGTAACAATATTGTGTGAAATTTTTATGATTTAATTTTCTGTCCCACCGGAGAAAAACTAAGTTAAAGTTCCCTAAAAATCGTTATTTTAGAAATTTGAACTTTTTTATACTTGTGTTACTAAAAAAAGACCAAAGTAAAAAACTTCAAAACACAATTAAATTATAATACTGAATAATGTGTCTGTCAATAAAACTGTCAATATGCAAAAAGATTATGTTGTTTAATAAAATTTTAAATTTAAACAGATTTTTTATTTTGGCTGGTTAATATATTAAAATCATGACAACCCTACTATTTTACTCTTAAATATTTATCAGTACAGTAATATTGGTAAAAATGATTTTTGATAGAAATGATAAATATCGTGGAAACTGTAAAAGGTAGGTCCATTAATGAATCTACTGTAATGAGCCTTTGAAATAGTTTTAATTTTCAAGTCTTTAGTATAAATACATAGGTTTCAGGGATATTTTTACGAAATACCGGTATTTTGAAATTTCAAAATTTTGACAGGTCATAAAACTACTTTCACTTAAAATTTTTTTTTTATTTAAATATTAATCAACTCATGTGAGAAATTTGTACTGATAAATATTTAAGAGTAAAATAGTAGGGTTGTCATGATTTTAATATATTAACCGGCCAAAATAAAAAATCTATTTAAATTTAAAATTTTATTAAACATAATCTTTTTGCACTTTTTATCGTAATTTTATGAAACATTTGTTTTACTTTATTTCAAAGCCGCACACTAACAAATTAAAATGTTGGAAATTTAGTTATTTTAATGTTTTAAAAATTTTTTTTTATTTAAATATTAATCAACTCATGTGAGAAATTTCAAAAAAAATTAAAAATGGTCGCGCGACCACTCTGTATGATTTGGTATGTATTGACCCATATGTAATATGATATATGATATATACAATAATTATTGAGTTACCGTAAATCGTCAGTGATAAGAAGTTGGTGGATCTGAAATTGGTAGCTTCATAATTGTTTATAAGTTTTTAAGTGAAATTAAAACAAATGTCTTTTATCTTTATATTATGAAAACTTTTTTATAAAAAGATATATAATACTACTTGTATTGAATAAGCTGTTTTGATGTAGTAATTATGGCTTTTGGGCGTATTGAACCACAGTATGAGCTTTTAAATGGACACAAGTAATGATCATAAATACTAAATTAAATTTTTAGTCTTTAAAATTTATACATTTTTTACATTATAGGAAGCCAGTTGTATATGCTCTAATCCTTATTGGATTAGCTGTCTTAGTATCTTTCGTTGTTATTTTAATGTTCAATGTTTCATGGATTTATTATTCTAATTGTGAAGAACATAATACATCATTAGATTTATCAACAATCTTTGGACCTGAAACGTATTTAAGTAATTATTTAAATATGAGTTAAATAATAAATTAGTAGTAGTAAAAACAATTATAGTGAAAATAATTGTAGTCATTAATTACATTACTTGGCCTATAACTATCAATTATTTTGGGTTGATTTTTTATGTTTCAATTACTGCAACCCTCAATAGCATAAGATGAATTAATTAGTAATTGTTAATGTATTTTTAGATAAATGGATAAGTTTTTATTTCACTTATATCTTATATGATAACAATGTGTGTCTAGCAATACATATTATGTATTTCCTCGTTTTTCTAACACTCCAAACCTCACATTATTGCTGGTCTCACTACAGTCTTATTAGTCCTTATTAGAATTCATATTCTTTTATCTATTACCTTTTCCCAAACCTTCATACTATGACTCATAAACTTTATGCCTCTATAATTTCCACACTTCTGTTTGTATCTTTTGCCTTTAAATATCGGCACCAAAATACTATTCATTCCTTGTATACTTTACTATAAATAACTTAAACATATTAAAAAGTGTTCAACAAATAATATACTATTAAAGAATTTCATGGACAATTAAATTATTATATAACTAAAAATCACAAATAATACTTATAATAATAATCGAGAATGTATTAGTCTACAATTTTGAAACATTTATAAATTAAATAAAACAAAAAAATATTTACAAAGAATTTATTACTTATACTTCAAAATTTTTACTATAAGCAACTTTAATATATTATAAATATTTAACAAAAAATAAAAATTTTAATTAATTTTAATTTGGTCTCTATATTGCAATCTTCTTCATTAATCTCTTGTAGGAAATCTTCTACTATTTTATTTTTTTAATATTATAGTACACTTTACAATAGCTTTCATTTTGTCGTTTAAATATTTTGAAATTATCAAAAAAAATTTATTCTTTTGCATATTTTTTTTGAGTATTAAAAAAAAAACCGGGGGTTTTTTTTTTTTATATAGCCTTTATTAAAATAATATTTAGCTCAACAATTATAAACAAAGAGAAAAAAAAAAGTGAATTAGAAGTATAACAGTAACAGTGCTATGTTATAATGGTATAACAAATATGACGATAATTGTTAGTATACTCAAAAATAAAGAAAGAAATTAAATATTATTAAAATTATTGTTAATAGAAATTTAAAAGTACAACTAAAAGAATTACTAAATTAAAATTTTTATTTGAAATAATGGAGGATGAGAGAAAGTAAATAAATAAGTAAATAGAAGAATATAATATAAAATAATGAGAGATTAAATGACAAAGCCGGAACTCCTCAAGAAAGATATGATTGAAATAATAATAAAGGAAGAACGGGTATTAAGAGTATTAGCTACAGAAGGGGGATTAATATTGTGGGAGGCTAAGAGGCTGAATAGTTTATTTCTGCTGTTAATTAGGGCAGGACAATCAAAGAGAAGATGAGAAAAATGGCATAGAGCTTCACTATCATGAAGGGGACAGAAGGGAACAGAATTTAAGGAAAGATAAAATGCATGGTAAGGCAGAAGATTATGACCTAACCTAAGTCTTGAGTACTGAGAAATTATATTTCTGGATAAGTCAAGGTTATAAAACCATGGAGAATGTATAATGGATGGAGAGATCGAGCCGTACCAACATACCGTTTTCAATTTTATTGTAGCCCAACTGTCCTGCCAGGCTTGAAGAACTGTATGTCGAAAGAGGCGGAGAAAGTCAGAAGCGGGAATATTATGGCTAGAAAAAGTAAAGAAGGGGGAAATAGAAGTAGCAAGACGGTCAGCTGTTTCGTTACCTAATATATTGGCATGGCCCGGCACCCAGTGAAAAACAATAGATTTATTTTGGGATCGAATTAAGGAGATAAGTGATCTAATAATAAGAATGTAAGGAGAAAGATGAGAGCAAAATGGATTAGATGTGAGGGCAAGTAGGCAAGATAGAGAATCAGAAAAAATAGCAAATTCATTAATTGAAGTAGAAGATATAAAAATGAGAGCATTAACGATGGCAAGGCATTCAGTGGTAAAAGAAGAAGAAGAAGGGTGGAGTGCAGCTGAGTATGAAATATTAAGTTCAGGAATAAAGAAAGAACAACCAGCCGAGTTAGTTGATACAGAACCATCTGTGAATATCAAGCATTTAGTCAAAAAATTAGCTAAGATATAATCTTTGAAGAGATTATTAACGGAAGTTGCAGGAAGAGAACGGAGGATTGAAACAGGGAAGCCGAGGAAACGCGTTGAAGAACACACTATGGGAGCTATTGTAAGAGCCACTAGAGGACAGTCAAATAAAGGTAATCTGGAGTGTGATTTGTAAATGTGACAGACCATGGGTGACAGAGAAGAGCATACTGAGGCTAAAATTGGAAGTGATTTAGGCACGTAGCGCCAGCAATTACTTAATTTGGAGTATAAGGAGAAGATATGATGGTTAGGGGTGGAGAGAGATTTTAGGAGAAATTTATTAGCAAGCAAGCGACAACGGATTCCGAGGGGGGGAGAGGAGCACTCAACAAAAATACTATGGCTCGGGATAGACTTAAGAACACCAAGAATGCTGCGCAAGTATGCGGATAAAAGAGAATTAAGTTTTTTCCTATGAGTGTAGGAAGTTGAAGAAAATAAAAAAGAGCCGTATTCAATTTTAGCGCGGATAACGGATTTAAAAATGAGAAGTAATGAGGAGGGATGAGAGCCCCAGGATGTACCAGTAATACAGCGTAGGAAATTTGACCAGCGAGCAGCGGACGAGAGAATAAAACGGAAATGAGGAAGCCATCTCAGCTTAGGATCCAGTTTAAGGCCTAAATAAGTGACGCATTCAGAGGGGGGGATGGTTATCCCATCAAGAGTAATTATAGGGTAAACTGACGGTAAGCGTTTTCTCGTGAAAATTATTAACTGGCTTTTCAATGGAGCAGCCTCAAAATAATGAATTTGAAGAGAGTTAGAGAGGACGGCAAGTGAATTATTAAGGGAGTTGAGGGCATTATGAATGGATATATGAGAAGAAAAAAGAACGATGTCATCAGCATAGAAAAGTGAGAAAGTACCACTAGAGGTGAGGGAGAGGCTAATTTTGCTCATGTAAATATCAAAAAGAAGAGGACTAAGGCAGCTACCCTGTGGAAGGCCGCGATAGGAAGTGCGGTTTAATATTAAACCGGAAGGAGAAGTGAAAGTAAGAAAACGTTGTGAGTAGAGACGTGAAATAAAATTACAAAGTGTAGGGGGTATAGAATAAGAATGTAAAAGGGAAATAAGGGTAGGAATGTGTACAGAATCAAAAGCACCTTTGATGTCAACAAAGACAGCGGGACAATAGGATTTATCACAAAATGTTTTGTATATACTCGCCGTGAGAGTGGATAAACACTCCATGGTGCCCAGCCCTCTCCGAAACCCGTATAAATTAGGGGGAAGACAGTTATTTTTTTCAAAGAACCAATCAAGGCGGTTCTTGATAATGTGTTCGACTTCTTTGCAAAGGGAAGAGGAAAGAGCTATTGGGCGAAATGCAACGGAAGCTGAGTTAGATTTAGGGACGGGAATGACGTTAAAATTACGCCAAGAATCAGGAATAACACCTTGGGACCATAAAAAATTAAGAATGATTAAGAGAAGTTCAAGGCAATGAGAAGGGAGATGTTTTAGAACCAAAGGGAAAATTCCATCCAAACCAGAGCTGGACGATTTACGCGAATAGATTGCATAGGAAATTTCACTGAGTGTAAACGAATCAGTAAGAGGATGAAAAGGGAGAAAATTAAGGAAAGGGTTAGGATCAAGGGTAGGAGAGGATTCTTTTAATGATGGGACGTAGGGGGGAGCAACCTTATTGCAGAAGAGATCAAACCATGACTCGTTTAAAGAGGGAGAATTTTTATATAGACAGTTTTTTAATTTTTTGACAATAGTCCAGGTATTGGACAGACTAGAAGAGGATTAAGTGAGGAACAGAAAGAGCGCCAGGACATAATTTTTGCTTGTTTAAGTGTTTTTTGAACAGAGGTGCGTACCCTTTGGTACTCAAAAAGTCACTTAGCAGACCCGAGGATCTATATTTTTTAAAAGCTTTAGTGCGCTCATTGATAGCGTAGGTGCAAGAGGAAGACTACCATATTGGAGAGGAGGGAAAGGACTTTTTGGTTTTTTTAATTATAGGAACAGATAAATTAACTGCTCTAATAATTGTAGACACGAACCAGTTGTAGTCCTCAATGGGAGAGGAGGAGGAAAAATTAGAGGTGAAAATGGTCATGTAGTTTTGAAAAGTTGGCCAGTCAGCTTTCGAATAATTAAATCTGTTAACAACGGTATGAGAGGGAGTGGGAGAATTTGTGTGAGAAATAATGATGGGAAAATGATCACTACCATGAGTGCAGTCTAGGACAGACCATGACAACAACAACGAGAGAGAGGGAGATGAAATGGTTAGGTCAACCGCGGAATCCATTTGGGAAGGGCCTGTAAGAGGGGTGGGGAGTCCTGTATTGAGAATACAAAGATTATAGGCAGAAATAGCAGACGAAATAATGTTACCACGATGATTGGAGATTAGTGCACCCCAGGAGGGATGGTGACCATTGAAGTCACCGTCTATAATAGAAAACATGTTATCAATCAGTATAGAAGGAGGGTTGGAAGAGGGGGGAATGTAAATAGACCAAATGTCAATGGGATTGGGTAAATTACTAAACGCCTGGATACCGACAAGATCTATAGAATGATTAAGAAGCGAGATTTTTAATACAGGATCAATAGAAATAGGGTTAATGTGGATAGAATGATGAGAGGCGATGGCTACGCTGCCAAAACCGTCGATACGATCAGAGCGATTAATGTTGAACTGTGGAAGATAAACACATTTATTTGAAAGGAGCCGAGTTTCAAAAAGGAGAGCAAAAGAACATTTATTATTAGAGAGAAGAAAAGAGAGATCGTGCATTCTAGGGGAGAAACTTCTTACGTTCCATTGAAGAATATTGAAAGAAGGAAAGTTAGGATTACTATTAAAATGTGTCATCATTGTCAGATAAAGGATAGTGGATGTTAGTTAATGAAGATTCTATAGTTGATTGAAGTATTGAAGGAGAAGAAATTAAATTAGGATCGCTGAACGATATGTTGCGATAAGCAGGAAATCCAGTTGCGGTCATCAACATTAGTACTACGATTTTGGGACATGTATTTTAAAAAACTGCCATTAGGCGAAATTGGCCTAGAACAGTCATTTGGCAAAGGAAGAAAGTGGGGGGAGGGGACTTGAGTTTTATTACTTTTTTTGTTTATTTGTATATGTATTAGTAGAATGACTAAGGGAAGGAAAAGAAGGAGAAGCTATGACTTCGACACTAGATATATTTGTATTTTTAGCAGCATCAGAAAAGGTAAAAGCTTTATTAATAAACTGGAACGAGGAGGCTTCAGAAAGTGATACATTGTTTGTGGCCATTATCTTTTTAATGTCCTTTTGCACAGACCATTCGCTGCAAGATCTATCCGTCGCAAGGTGGTTCAGTTTACAAAAAATGCACGAAGGAGGTGTGGTTAACTTGACGTTACAATTAGATTCGGTGTGGTCAAAGAGACCGCAGTGACTGCAGCGCTCCTTACTGCGACAGAATTTAAGGGTGTGACCAAAACGTAAACACTTGCGACATTGGACAGGAGAACGAATACTCGGAGAGACATCAAAAATAACTTTGTATATTGATAATTTTTGAGTAAGAGTTGATGACAAAAATTTAAGTTCAACTAAATTTGAAGAAACGAGGATGTTATCCTTTTTTATATTAATACGTCTGAATGAAACAACTTTGACTGAACATTCATAACCTTCCCAAAAGTCTTCTTCAGAGATACTTTTATCAAGACGTATTATTCCAATACTTTATAGTAAAGTACTAGGAATATTCGCTGAGTAGCCGTGTTCAGAAAGAGAAGGGGAAGTGAGACAATTGTTGGCGTTATTAACCAACTCAAACGTGATTTTCACACGCTTAGAACCGATAGAGTTTATGCTTAGAATACCAGGAAAAAGTTTGGAAAAAGTTTTACCGAGCTTATCTGGGTGAAAATTACCTAAGTTATTATCACCAGATGCAGAAACAAGTACATTAAGGGGACCAGTGTAGTGTAGTGGAAAGCATTCAGGAACATTGGGTGCCTGACTGTTGAAATATTAGGAGAATCGACATAGAGCGAGTTTATGTTTGAAGTTGGCGAACCGGGTGACGTCACAACGATGACTTCAGGTGAGCTACAATCCATGCTGAAAGTTTGAGATTGGGGATCATCGGATTTTGATTTACCGTCAGATTTAGGTTTTTTGTGTAAGGGGCTAATTGGCGATTTAGAGCCTTGATTGTTCTTACCAGAATAACGCGAATTATCCATGAAGATTTGTGGGTTGGAAGATTGCAGAGTGATTCTACGGCGCAATGGGGGGTGGTGCTGATCACTTCCTCCCGGATTAGGTCTGGATTGCATCCAGAACCCCGGCGGACACAGTAAATGTGCCAAAAAGGCGGAACTATGGATTCAAAACTAAAAAAAAAAAAAACTATGAATAACGGAATAGTACTCTAAAAATAGGGGGTAACTACAAACGTACGCGAGATAAACACGTCCGTACAATACGACCGATAAATCGTAACTGTTTAACCGGGGTTAGAAATCTCAACAAATTGTTAATCGTAAAATGTTTTTTTACATATTTGAAAATATTTCAAGATAAATTAATATTTTGTATCAAAAAAAATATAAGAAGAATATATTAATTCAAGTTAATTTAATTTTATTCAAATTTGAATGATATAAGACACTGATCTTACTTTTTTGTAAAAAGAAAAAAATTAGGTTTAAAAAACAATAATATGTAGTTATATAATTTTTTTCCCCTTATAGGATTACAGTTTGACTGGTGTATATGCATTCTGCCCTTGCTACATACCTACACTGTGTATTTTTTTATGAATGGCTCTCATAGAATAAAAAAAATTTTAAGAAAAAAATTTTTTGTAATTTTTAGCTTCGATGCGAATCTGAGAAGGTATTGGTTTTACTATGATGTGTTTTTTTTTTGTGTATGTTACCACTTTTTCTCAGCTCTCACCGAACGGATTTCTTTCAACAATACGTCAAAAGATCACAAATTGTATCTAATTGAAGACATTATCCTCAAAAATTGAAAAAATTTCACTCGTTCCCCGTAAATAGGAGAAACCTCCAAAAAAATTACAAATTTAAAAATCGCTAATTTTGTAATTTTTTTCACTTTTTGTACTTAAAACCTAGTTTTTTTCACTTTAACCACTGTGTAAAAACCAAATACTTAGTAAAAGCTGAGGAGAGAAGCTTAGCTTATAAACTAAGTATTAAGTCTTAAAGAAAAGTTTTTCTTGAGCCAGTAAGAACTCAAAGGTTTTGATTATTTATAAAACTAATAGGTAGTGTTGTTAGTGATACAAGAATAGTTCTTAAAATTATCTATGTTGTTAAACTATATTATTGTAATTTCTTAACAAATATTTATTACATTCCTTAAATATTTTCTAATGTATTGATGTATTTATGCTTATTAATTAATATTAAATTATAAGCATTTAGATTTAATTAAAATATCAATTATAAAATTTGAAATTAATCATTTTTTAGACCCTGATATAATTCTTCAACGATCTAAAATTGTAGCTTATGCTGCAAAATCTGATCACGATGTACATTGGCCTGCTAACCAGACAGTAAATTTAAAGAAAAGAGTTGAAAAATCCTATAATTTGTTATGTTACTACTCATTACCATCTGGAAATTCTAGTAATTTGCTTCCATCCAAAATCAATGCTACTCTATGCACCCATATAATAATTGCAGCTGCACAAGTGCAAAATAATAGTGTTTATATCAAAAGTTCATTTGAAGAAAATGTAAAGTAATATTCATTATTTAAAGATAAAAGTATTATGTGTAGAAGAGTATCTAATTGTATTAAAATTGAGAGTTTTATTAGTGTGTTGGAAGTCAATTAATTAAATTTTACTTTGTTTTTATAAAGAAACTTTTTACAGATAATTAAGCAAGTAGTAAATTTACGTGGAGCCAATCCTCAATTAAAAGTATTATTGTCTTTGATTTATTTTTCTAATGGTAAACATTCGGTAGATGGATTTTCTAGTGTTGTTAATAATTTAGAAAATATGGAAAAGTAATTATTTAGAAATTTATTTATTTAAACATTTTAAATAATATTTATGTTTTCTTTTAAGGTTTTTAGAAAATGTCAAAACCGTTATAGATAATTATGATCTAGATGGAATTGATATTGATTGGGAATTTCCATCATGGCCTCTATTAAATCTAAAAGAAAAATACGGATTTGCTAAATTACTAGAGTTATTACGTAATAAACTTCCTGACTCTATTCTTAGTGCTGCTGTTGCTGCTCCTTTAAATATAATTGACAGCTCTTATGAGATTTATGCACTTGCAAGGTATTATATATTTAATTAAAAAATGACATTGATAAAATATTTGTGTTAAGTTTTTTAGATTTCATAAATGTTATGACTTATGATTATCATTCATATCAATGGTATTTTCCTATAACTGGACCAAATTCTCCTCTTTTTTCTTCAAGAAATGAAATAGGTTATTTTAAAACCTTGAATGTTAAGACTTCTATTCAGTATTGGATATCAAAAGGAATACCAAAAGAAAAAATTTTGATTGGAATGCCTACTTATGGCCATTCGTTCAAGTAAATATTTTTCAAATTTACTTCTAAAAATCTTCAATTTTTTCTTAGATGGAAAGCTGATAAAGTATTAATTTCACTATAATGTAAAATCAAATAATTAGTAAAACGATATATTAGGTTTTGACCCAAGCACTCTTAGAGGAAATAACCACCTCTTACCAAATAAGTTGGCATGATTTAATGGTACATTTTCAATGAAAATTTGTGGGGAGTTAAAGATTCCAAATGAAGAAAGTAGTAAACATTTTTCTTGTTTTCTTTTTCCCCTTGATAGAAGAAAAAAAAATATATCAAAATCATTTGATACTAAATTTTTTGTGAGGGAATAGCCAGTTAGAAAAAAGATCAGACATTATTAAAAAATACAAATAAGCAACTGGTTCTAGACAATTAGACGTAAACGGAACTCATTCACATTCTAATTTCACAGGTTCCTTTTTTGTTAAAATAACATTAAAAAATCTGCCCTTATTGTTATATTAATAATATAACCATAGTTTGAAGTATAGGGTATATTTTAATCATCCCGTGTATAGGTGCAATTTGAACAAAATATTTGGGAATTTAACTTAATTTTTTCCCTCTTTAAAATTTTTTTTATACAAATTATATAATTTTCTTTTCCTTTTTTTTTTTGTAGATAAATTATGCAAGTTGTTAAAAAATTAAGGAATTAGGTTGATTGTTACAAACAATGAGAACAATACAAACCTGTTTCCTTAATTATTGAACACCTAAGTAATGTTGATAACATAATACATATATATTTGGAGTTGTCAGATTTCAATGCATAAAATATTGTTAATTGTCAACGTAACAGTACATTTTTATTTATAACACCTAAAAAGAAAGACAAAAAAAAATGTAGAAACACTAAAATTTAAAAAAACTATAAATTTTATTCACATTCTTAGTTCTTTAACATTTAAAGAAAGCAGTTCCTACCAAAAATGTTTGTTTCAGTAATCCATTCTTTTTAAAACGAATTTCTTCCTAACACTGTATGCGTTTATGAAAATAAAGTTTCAACTAGGCTAGTCAATAATAGTACTGTAGTGTTGAAAATAGGCAATGTGTTTAATATCTGTAATATTAGAAATATATAGAAAGTAATTACTGAAATTTCTAGATATATTTGATACTATATACTTTATTAGTGTAATGTTTGCTGTTGTATGAGTATACTTCACTTATTAAAATTGACTATGTATACATTTTAAGACAAAAAGTTCTCATCAAACCAATGTGCAGCTAACTTGTGTCTCCATTTGAAAGAAAATTTTCGATTCTCTTAAAGTTAGTGGCAAACTTTTATTAAAACCCTTCTCAAGTGTGAGCACAACAATTCATCAGTTCTATTGCAATTGGAATATAATATAAGAATACACCCCAGGAAAAAATTATTTACTAAGAATTTTTTTTTTTTGTAGAAGAAAAGCATAAATAATTGTAAAATATTGAAACACTAACTATATATATATATAAGTATTACACTTTTTAGTGTGGATAAAAATATTAAATAATAATATGTAATTCTACTTTCAGGTTGATTAATAAAAATCACAATGGTTTTGGTGCTCCTGCTTCCAGTAATGGAATTGGTAAAGATGGGTTTTTATCTTTTAGTGAAGCTTGTGAATTTATTTCTAATAAGAAAGCAGTTACCATTTTTGATAACGAAACACATACTCCATATTCATACTATGAAAAAGATTGGATATCATTTGATAATGAAATCAGTTTAGCTTATAAAGCAAAATTTGCTGTTTCACTTGGATTAGGAGGTGCCATGATGTTTTCTTTAAATGATGATGATTATCTAGGTTCAAGTCCTTGTTCATTAACAGAATTTCCTTTAACTTCCAGAGTTAAAACTGTATTGAATGATGACTATTTATAGAAAAAAAAAATGAACTTTTTATTATAAAATTGTATTGTTTAATTTGTTGTATAAGATAGGTATATGTAAATATTATACATTTACATTCATAAAAATAAATAAGGGAGTCTATTATAAAATAGAAAAATTAATTTTTAATGATCATTCTAATGATTACATTATACAGGTGATTGAATAACTATGTCTCACGAATTTTCTTTAAAAATATTAGTGTTGTCATATATATAATTATTTTATTTTTTATAAATCTTTGTTAAGTTACTTAACAAGAAAATTAAAGATTCCATCTTCATCTCTTAACTCTTAAATCAATATCAACTTTAGTTTTTCAAATAGCAACCCAGTTTTTTTTTATTAATCTTGTTTAGCATAAAAAAAAAATCAATTTTAATAAATTCTAAACGAAATAACACTATATAAAATTGGTTTGGTTGGGTTGGGTTAACAAATAAAACAGTAGTCGGTTAACTACAGTAACATTAACATTTAGTGTAACAATAAGAACTATCGGTGTATTGTTCTCGGTTATCGGTTTACGACCCATAAAATTTGTGCATCTTTTGTAAATCAATGTGAGTAATACTTATGTCTCCTAAACTTTATTGATTCATAGCTCGCTAATAATTGAATAAAATAAAAAAAAAAATTTTTAAACTAAATTTATTCGGGTTATAAAAAAAAATAGGGTAACCATATGAAAACTGAAAGTTGATACTGATTTAAAGCATAAGGGATGATCATAAAAATTAAATTTTAATCATTGATAGATAAAAAAATAATATTTCATAAAAATAAAAAAAAAGATAACTTATATTTTCAGAGATAATTTGTGAGACATAGTTAATCAATCGCCCTCTATTATTATAAGATGTTTTTCAAAATATTTTTGTTAATTACTTTTTTTTTTTCTATACATTTTTATATTTTTATTTTATCATTCTTATTGTTATTAAATTTCTATTAATTAATTTTTTTACATGTAATTTGTAACTATCAAGAATAAAAATTAAAGCTACTTATACGTTTATTTTTAAAAATTGTTTTTTTGTAAAATAAATAATAAAACCACACTATAGGATTCCCAATTAAATTTCAATACAATTTTTTGGATCACACTATATTGAAATTTTTTTCCAACTTTAATTTAAAGTTAAGTAGAAGGGGCAAAATTTACAAAAAATTGAATATATAATAGTATAAATATGATAATTTCGTGGTAAACCATGGCGATGTTTATTTTTAATTAAAATAAAATTTGGAGGGGAACCCGGAATTACCCAATTTTGGTGATAGGAAATATTGATTGTCGATTTGCTATTTTTAGTTTTTATTTTTACTTAATATCATCTACTAATTGTGACATGCATTAAAGCAAAACTCTGTTTATATCCGCCAAATAATTTTAAGAAAAATGTTTATTAAACCTTCCAAACAAAAAAATATTGTACCTTCATGAAGTAAATATTTTTGTCTTGAGTATCTTTCCCCTTAAGTACGCCTCTTACCATTATTAATGACCAACGCCTCACTTTGATTTTAATGATCAAGTATAATGTTAAAACAAACGTGGTGTAAAAAAATACAACTAATCATATATTCTAGAATATCTAATCTTTCATCCTTACGATATCTCGCTCTCGATTTTCTAGTAAATGTAATCTCTTAAAACTTTAAATTCATAATACATTTAAAACATCTAAATGATAATGTCTAACTTCTATTTATATTTTGTTGTTATTTGTGAACGTATACATTCATATTATAGTTGGTATATATTAACTATAATTCATACACCTTAGAACTTAAAGGTGGAATGATTCCAAATAAATAAGTCATAAGTCGGCCAACAAAATATTTGACAGGTAAATATGCACATTAATGTATGGTACGTTTGAAGATAATTTTAACACTTTAGTAGCTACTTGTAAACTATTTATTACAAATTGTGAATAACACGTTTCTTAGGTGTTATTTTCAATCAGTTTCTATTTCTAAAAGTGTCAAAATATCGATGTAGGTGTATGAGAAATAATATTTATTATTTTGCCAATTTTCTACATAACTATTTACAAATGTAATGTACACATAGTAGTATTAAAAACATTTTATTATTTATTAGAAATAAAATTACTTCTATCGGGGTATTCATACACATTTATTTTATTGTACGTACAATAATTGCGCTAACATGATTCCATCCGGCATAAAATAGTAGAGCACATTGGATTGCTAGTGAAAATATTCTATTAACACTTAGATGCACTATTGGTGTACCTTTCATTGGATACATTATTAACTATTTCCAGTTTTTATAATAAAAATTATGACAACGCGATTTAAAAATTTAAATGATAGATCTCTAAAAATAATTGGCCTCAAAAATTATGTAGCCCCTAAAAATCATTTTTATTTTTATATTTATATAGTTCCGACAAAACCAGACTATAAAATCAATATTGAAAACATAAATATTTACTTTTTATATTTAAGAATTTTTATTCAACTTTAAATTAAATGAATATTTTATTAATTTTTAAGAGTGATCAGTTATTCATTTACCACTCGATTACTCGCAAAATAAATACAATATTGGAAAAAAATTTTTAGTTTTTTAATTACATAAATTTTTTAATTTATCAACTAATAATTTTAGGATCATTTGACACTTAGGGGGTTGTCAACATAATATTTTTAAATGGGCATATTCGTATTTAACTAGCTTATAAAATAAAAAATGTCAACTTTTGGAACAGTCATTTGAAAGTTATTAGTATTTTAAAATATAGACTGGAGGTAAAGTGAGGTTGCTGCTATTTTTATCATAAGAAATTTCTCGACCGCATTCCTTCTCGTGCTTAGGTATAAAAATGAGAATAACTTCTGAAATACTGGTCCAAAAGTTGTTTTCGATCAGTCATTTTCTTAATTAGATAATTTTCTACTTATAAGTTTGTTAAATATATATTACCTTTTAAAAAAATAAGGTGGACATCCCTATAAGGGATGTTTCTAAAAAGTAATTAATTGCTGATAAATAAAAAAATACATAGAAGTACCCTGGTCAAAACCAACACCTAAATTAAAAAACAAACCCAGTACATTCGTGTCACAGCACAGCGGGTACTTAGCAATAATAATATATATATATACATAAACCCTTTCCTATTTTTTTTCAAGCAAATAAATTTCAAAACGTTTAATCATAAAATATTTTATTATTTTTGTTTTGAAAATTGAAATCTCTATTATATTCAAAACAATGTATTTTTTGCTTCTATGATACTAAGAGGAATACATAATATTATTTTCGTGGATATGTAAAAGTAGTTTACACGTTTAGCTATTTTTACCACACTTTTTCCATGAGTGTTATAAGCTTTCCCCTCCAATTAGGGTACCCTGGATCCATGATGGTCAATATTAATATATACTACTATTCACTTACAGTTTATCAGAGAATTCAAACTCTGAACTTCATCACAATTATTGTTCTTATTTTCTCTAAGAACCACAATATTATGGTAAATTCTATATAAATAATTTGCTGTGTGCTAGAATTCTTAAATATCTGTAGTACATTTTAAATATCATAGAATTCTTAATTATCGTACATAATTTATTTTTTTAGGAGGAAGACGAACAAAAAATAGCAAGTATGTAGATTCAAAAACTTATTATTTTGAACATATTTATACAATTAAATAAATTAGAATTTACAACTAAAATTATAATGAATTATTTATTGAAATACTATTAAAATTAATATATGCTTTGCAATTTGCAAAAACTAAATTTTTCTATTAAACTTGTAATTTTGAGTTTTCATAAACTAAATTAGTTTCATTTCACTTAAGAATATATTTTTGGAGAGAAGGCAAAATTTTGCGTTATTATTGTATAAGTGCTCAACTTAAATTAAGCTCTTGTTTCATTTTACAGTATGAGCGTCCCTGTTCATATTGCAATTTATCTTTAGGATCAAAGGGATTTTAGAGATAAATTTTAGTGTCGTGGAAGTGAATTTTACCGACTAAAATACCGTAATGATTAAAAAAGTCTACAATTTATTCTAAAAATACTGACTATTAATGAGTTTAATAAACATTTGGGTTGGTGTATCATACCTACTTCACCCCTATAAAATCGCCTTTGCGTATAACTAGTACAGGGAAAAAACGATTACATTTTATTTAATATGATAAATATTTACAAATTTGAACCTGTGTAATTTATTAAAACTGCTAAAACTGAAAAAAATCGTTCTGGGTTATTTTAGTTTTTTTTTTTTTTAGAGAAAATTATGAAGTTTTAATGGTATTAGTCTAGTTGAACTAGAAAAAATATTTTAGACTCGTGGAGACTCTAATTTATTGTTTGTCTCCTTATTATTGTAATATTCACAATTATATACTATACAAAGTGATACTAAAATATTTAGTAATGCAATTGAATTATTTAATTGAATATGATGAAGAATTCTTTATCATATTTTTGTTTAACAATACATGAAATTTATTTATTTTAACTTTGTTCTTCTAAATTTCGTTTGTGAAGACAATTTTTAATATTAAACGATTCTATATTTATCAGTTATGAGGAAAGCTTTCCAAATGTTTGATACAACGAAATCTGGATTCATTGATACTTTAAAAATAAGTACAATCTTAAATACAATGGGCCAGTTATTCAATGATTCAGAACTTGATAGATTAATAGATGAAGTTGATCCTGATGGTAAAATACAATTTATCACACGTAGGAACAAATGAAAAACGATTTTTTTTTAAATTACATTATAGGAACTGGAAGAGTCAATTTTGATGGTTTTTGTCAAATAGCAGCACATTTTCTTGAGGAAGATGATGATGAAGCTATGCAAGAAGAATTAAAAGAAGCTTTTCGTTTGTATGATAAGGAAGGTAATGGATACATAACAACTGCTACATTAAGAGAAATATTAGCAGCTTTAGACGATAAACTAGGCCCTGATGATCTAGATGGAATTATAGCTGAAATCGATACTGATGGATCAGGCACAGTTGACTTTGATGGTAATTTATTTTTATAAATTTTTTGTTCTGGTAATTAATACCAGTAAGGTTAAACAGAGTGGTATTTCATAAATGTAGCATTTAAAATTAAGATATTTTTATGTTTAATTTATTAATATACTAATAGATATTTATGAAATTTGCTTAAAATAGGATTTTTCTGTGAAAAATTAAAATCATTATGAGTGATGTAAAAATAAAATTCATTAAGAAATGTTGTTTTATTTTTCAGAATTTATGGAAATGATGACAGGGGAATAAGAAAAAATTTATTTGAACAATATTTTTATTTTAACTGATATTTTAATTGAATGCATTTATTTAATGAAAATTATAAAATGTATTACTGACAAAAAACTGTTACAAATAATTAATTTGCCTCATTATAAATGATGAAATTCATATTATTTATTTATTTTGAACCATTATCGTCATTATCTGGTTTTTTTCGTTTCTCAGGATTCACTGGACAGTCATCTGATTCCTCAGCACTGATATTTGCTTGTTGTAATGCTCGTACAAACTCTTCCATATTTCCTTGGTTTGCTGCACTAACTGCACCTTCACCCAAATCAAATTGTTGAACAACTGATCCCAGTTGTCCAGTCTGTAAAGCATTACTAAACATACTAACAGCCTTAAAAAAAAAATTGATAAGTTTTTTAAATAATTATCAATATAATTATTATTAAACTTCAAATCAAAAATGTAATAACTTGTCTAAATTGTGGAGAAGTAATAGTATCCTTTAAACTATCAGGTGTAGTTTGGCTAGCTGATTGTGAGCTAGATGCTGTTTCTGCAGCAGGTAAATGCTGTGATAACTGACTTATAGCACTTGTATTTTCAATTACACTTTGTAAATTTTCCATATCCATAGCAGTTGACAAATCAACTATAATCAAGGAAAAAAATTAATTAAATTAATAACGTTACAACTCAAATGATTACTTATTAACTCTACAATAAAAAAGTAGTAGTACAAATGCAGATAATTTTTTTTTTTTATTAATATGTAATAAATTTAAATATAGAAATATTAGATTTGAAAACATATTTTTACATTTAATAGAAAAAAAGATGTGGAGTATAAAATTAACATTTATAAAACTACTGAAAAGTATAAATAATAATATATGTAAAAATTAAAGCAAAAGTGGTATATGTTAATTTTTGGGTAAAATGAGTTTATTTAAAATATATTCTTAATTTTAAATAATATTAGTCACAAATGATTAATTCTTTTTATAAAACTATTTTGACTTGAAATTAAATATTTCATATTTAACACATTTTTTTGTACCCACGACGACTGCAAAATTATGTTAAAAAAAGCTATATTTATAATAGTCTTTATAGGAATAAAGTATTTCATGACTTTCCTGTAAAGTTATGAAAATTGACTTTCACTTTAACACCCACATATATGAATTGTTAATTAATATTAATAATTAGTTAATAATTAAAAATTTATAACTATATATTTAAAAAAATAAAATTTTACCTGGGGTTTTTTCTACAGTTCCTTGAGCAGCAGTTAATCCAGATAACATAGATTGAAGATCTCTTAGCTGTATTCCAGCAGCAGGCCTTTGCTCATCTATAATTTTTTGTGAAAACAATTAATAATTAATAAGTTTGTCAGAATACATATTATATACTAGAACACTGTATATAATATTTTCTTGTATTATATAAAAATAAATATTATGTCTTTCGACATATACTTGTCCAAACATTTTACAGTAGAATAATTATTGTTTTATGTACAATTATAAGAGTAACTAAATATAGATTTTTTTTTATTAAAAAATGATTTACAATACATTTGGCTCATTTAGAAATATCTGGAGTTTTATATATGAAACAAAATGTTGATTACAATTATAGAATAAAATAGGTAAAACTAACCCGTAGGTGGATTAGTGATTGTTGCATTAGGGGATGGAGATGGTGGACTACTAGTATTAGTAGAACGATTACTACCACTATTTGTGTTGGCATTAGAACTAGTGTTTGAAGGTTGCACAGTAGAAGACTGAGATGAAGACGAACGCCCAGTTTGGCTAGATCTGAAGTGAAAAAAAAGTTATCATAGCCAATAAAAAACAATTATTATTTAGCAAACCTCATTGTTCCAAGTAATGATGATAAGCCTCCTATTTGCCCTACACCACCAAATAATTGCATCAACTGCTGTTGAGACATGTTGCTCAATAAATTCTGTAAATCTCCATCTAAAATAAATAATTGCATATTATAACATAGTCAGATTATTATTTTTTTTTAATATTTCTAATGAATGACTTAATACTTTACCTGGTGTAGTCCCACCACTGCGATTTGAACCTGGTGCAGGAGGATTGTTCATAACATCATTGATACGTCTACAGTTTTCATCATCTTTGTCAGTTTTTGGTTCCTTTGAAATAATAATAAATCAAAAATATTTATATAAAAGATTAAATTTAATTTTTACCTGTAGCCAAAAAAATGATTTTTTATTTGATGATTTAAATTTTAATAAATATACCCTTCCTGTAGTACATTGTGGCACATGTTTGAATTCACAATCATCAGGAAATATAATTAAATCCTAAAAATTATATTAATTAATAAAATACATTGAAAAATATTTTCTAATTTGTTCTTTTTTATTAAAAATAGTAATATACATATATAATTCAATGAAACTATCCAACACAAGTTGATTAAAAATATGTCAATAATAATGAAATATGCTACCTTTACTGAGTTTTAAAATGGTCGATAACTATTAAAAAAATTATAGACTATTGGTTAAGGATCCATTTATAGAGAAATCATAAAAATCATATTTTTATTTTATTAGTAATAAATAAGAGTGACCTAAGTTGGATCACATTGAATTTTTAAGGCTCTCCTTAAAAAATTTTTTTTTTGGTACATAGCACATTATTTAGTTCAAGTCCTCATATATGTTTAAGTTTTTTATAAGATAATATAGGCGTATACATAGATGCAACTATGACTGTAGGCTCTGTTACAACAATATATTAGAATTTTCTTTTTCATTCAACTTCTAAGAAAGTATTGATTTTTACAAGTCAGGTTAACATTTTATTGATCAAAATATGTTATAACTTGGAAAATATTTTGATGTTTTAACAATATTAATATTAAATAGTCAAGATAAAACTAATAATAGACTAAAACTCAATTAGATTAATCAATTTACTTCATAAAAATAACTAAAATAATAAAATTGTGAAATATTTATGAATAAACTTACATCTTCAACAACTCCAGATGAACGATCTTTCCAGCAAAAGTGAATTAAAGAATCTTCTGATTGATGTATATACAACAATCCTTTCCTTTTATCTGGATAAACCATTTTACCTCTCATGGACATTTTTCCAGCTTTAAACTCAACTAGATTTTTTGACTGGTTTCTACCAGCAGTATTCCCAAAGAGTGCTGTAGCTCCAGACATAATAACAACGTATTGATAGACTCAGATATAAGTACTTATACAGTAAACTAATTTATAGTTATTATTTAAATCAAATGTTTCTAAAACGATGACTAATAAAACTAATGTTTTTTTTTTGATAATTTATTTAATACAACATTAACCAACAAAAATACAAAAAATTGCATTATCACGATAGAACTACTTTGATCTCGTATTTTATCAGTATTACCAAGTAATAATTATTAAAATTATATTTCGTCTTAAAAATATTTTTAAATCACGTTGGTAGTACAAAAACTGACAACAAAATTCTCCGGTTTTTGTATATGTAAATTTTTATCACATTTTAATTATTGTTATTGTATTTACAGTGTAATCGACTAAGCCTATATTAAAAATTCATAAAAGACACGCTTCACTGTTATATATATTATTCAAACTGAAAATGTAATGCGCACACGTTTTTACAGAGAACCTATCTGGTTTTAAAATTGTATTTTTGATTGTCTTGCATACTTTTACTATTGTTAGTAAAATAATTTTCAAGATCAGTAAAAAAAATCGAATTTTTTATTATTTAAAATGGTTCGCAGTAGCAGGTATGTTATAATTTAAAGAAAATATTATCAAATATTTATATTGTTTAAACTTTTATTCCAATTTAGTGATAGAAGTTATCGTAAACGATCTAGAAGTCGTTCACGTAGTCCGCGTCGACACCGCCGCAGCCGTTCTAGATCAAGGTCTCCACGTCACAAAGCACACAAATCAACGTAAGTATTTATTTCAATAAATTTAATAACATTGTAATATGAAATCATTTAATAATATTAAATAATGTATTTTTATCTATTTTTCTTGATTGAAAGAAATTTTATATGAATATAAATATAAAAATAATATTAAATCTAAGAATTTTAATGATTTGGGAGCTAAATAGTTAAAACATTCTTCTCCTTAAAGTTATTGAAATAACAGTATTTTATCAATTATTGAATTAAAGTTCTTAAGTTAATAAATATACATATTGGATGTTAAAAACTTAACTTTGACATAAATAATAAGATAAATTACTATAATTAAAAATTGAATTTAAATAGGAGGGAAAGAAAAAAGTCAAGATCTCCTCGTCATTCACGATCTCCGCGTAGTAAAAGAAAAACACCAGAACGAAAACCAGAAGACGTTACATTTGACCCAACTAATCCAGATAAGGTTAATAGTTCTAACTTTTTATAATTATTACTTATCTTAAAATTAATTAAGTGTACTTTAGCCACTAAAGTTGTTTTATTTTTTTAAACTCAAATTGTATTTTTAACAGATTTTAAAATGGCAGTCAAGTTTTATTGATCATTCAAATTTCGTGATGACTTAATGATGGCTAAAGTAAATTTAAGAAATTAATATTTATTTTAAGTTTAGATAACTTTTCAATTAATAGTTTAAAATAACATGATTTCTTAAATAATACATTTCTTACAATATTAATTTCTTTTAGTAAAAATTGATTACATTAAAAACATTTATTTTCTTTATAGGAAACTGAGCAAAAAAAACTTGAATTAGAAATGCAAAAGCGTCGTGAACGTATTGAACGTTGGAGAGCTGAACGCAAGAAAAAAGAACTAGACAGTGTTAAAAAAGATATCAGAGCTAATATAATGTGTAATTATACAAAATATGAAATTTTAATTTAGATCATAAGAATTTTTAATTTATCCTATTTTCACATTTTTCTTATATAAATCAATTTTTACAAGTTTTCATCAATTTTCCACTAAAGCACTTTTCTGAGCTCGTCCTAAGAAATATTTAGTGTAGTTAACTTATCACTTAGTAATTTTGTTGAATTTTTTATAAAATGTAAAGCTAATATACAAATACCATCAAAAAAGTGGAATCTTGAAGATGATAGTGATGAAGAAGATGAAGGAAAAAATAATACAGACAAAGTTGTCGAAGAAGAAGAAATTGATCCTCTCGATGCATTTATGCAAGTAATAAAATTTTTTCAAATTTAATATTTAAAAATAATAAATATTATTGTATTTCTTAAAAAATAATTGCTAATCTTGATTTAGGGTGTACAAGAAGAAGTACGTAAAGTTAATAAAGTAGATGGACATCGAAGTAATTTGCCTGATAAGAATACTTTAAATGAGATTGGACAAAGCCCAGGAGTTGACACAACTAGTTCAGGGGTCGTTATTGTTTCTGGAGTGGCTAAAAAAAAAGATAATAATACTAGAGGAGAACTTATTGAACAAAATCAAGATGCATTAGAAGTAAAGTAATATAAAAAAATTCTGTGGTCAACAATATGACAGTGAACTTCATTACTAATTTTATTAATGGCAATAGAATTGATATAGTTCAAAGCTTGTAAAAATATTAAATTTACAAAAATATAATAAATATTCATATTTTTCTTTTAGCTAAGTGATAAAAACTAGTTTAATTTTTACTTAATAAAAATATATAAAATCTACATTTATTATTATAGTTAAAATAAAAAAAGTTGTGTAGATGTCCACTTTATTTTTTAAAGAATTCAAAGACAAAATTTAATAAGAATTTACTTCATATTGTTGATTCCAAAAATTTGTTATGCAGTTTAATTTATTAAACACAATTTTAAATATAAAATAGTATTCCTCTGAAGAAGAACAAGAAGATTTAAATGTTGCTGCTGCTAGTTTAGCAAATAAGCAAAAAAAAGAATTACCTAAGATAGATCATTCAGATATAGCATACATACCATTTAGGAAAAACTTTTATGTTGAAGTACCAGAAATAACTCGAATGACATCAGAAGAGGTTGAAAAATATAAAGAGGTATTAATTATTGTTTGAATTTTGTTAGATAAAATTTACTACTAGATTTAAAATTCTAGTTACTTTAATTATTTTTAAAATTAGGAGTTAGAAGGTGTTCAAGTAAAAGGTAAAGGATGCCCTAGACCTATTAAAGTTTGGGCTCATTGTGGTGTTAGTAAAAAGATTATGGATAATTTAAAAAAGCACAATTATGAGAAACCTACTCCAATTCAAGCTCAAGCAATACCTGCTATAATGTCTGGTCGTGATCTTATTGGTATTGCTAAAACTGGAAGTGGTAAAACTTTAGCATTTTTATTGCCTATGTTTAGGCACATTTTAGATCAACCTCCTTTATCAGATACTGACGGACCAATAGGTATGTATGATTTTATTATCATAGGGAAACATATTTAATGCAAATAAAAGTTGTTCACTAATACATTTTTCTTTTAGCAATTGTTATGGCACCTACAAGAGAACTCTGTATGCAAACTGGTAGAGAAGCTCGTAAATTTACTAAAAGTTTAGGATTACGGGTCGTATCAGTTTATGGAGGTACTGGAATATCTGAACAAATTGCAGAATTAAAAAGAGGTGCTGAAATAATTGTATGTACCCCAGGAAGAATGATTGATATGTTAGCAGCAAATAATGGTACAGAATTATAGTTTAAGTATACATTATAATTTTAACATTTATCAATATTTTGTAAACAGGTAGGGTTACTAATTTGAGACGCGTAACATACATTGTATTAGATGAAGCTGATCGTATGTTTGATATGGGCTTTGAACCCCAAGTTATGAGAGTAATTGATAATGTTCGTCCAGATCGACAAACAGTTATGTTTAGTGCCACTTTCCCTCGTCAAATGGAAGCCTTAGCTAGAAGAATATTACAAAAGCCTATTGAAGTTCAAGTAAGTTACATATAAGTATCTATTAGCAACCTCATAATTACTCTTAAGTTCGAAAATAGCTGTTGGATCACTTTATAAACTATTAATAAAGCACTAAAGATAGTGCAAAACTTGGTTTGATTTTTAATCTGATGGTTTATATTTTCTTCAGATTCTGAGATAAATATATGTAACATACAGTGGTATATAAGGTGTGTTCAGAAAATACCGGCAATTTTTAAATTTCTCGGGTTTGGAAAGTCTGATTATCAATTTTTTTTTTTATAATGTTAGTATACATGTCCTAAAAGTATGTTAAAATTTTTAGCAGGATTTNGTGGTATATAAGGTGTGTTCAGAAAATACCGGCAATTTTTAAATTTCTCGGGTTTGGAAAGTCTGATTATCAATTTTTTTTTTATAATGTTAGTATACATGTCCTAAAAGTATGTTAAAATTTTTAGCAGGATTTATTTTTTACTTTGTTAGTTGCAGTTGTTAAAGTTAGATGTGTTTTTATGTGCTTGGCGATTTTTGTTTGTTAAAAAAATGGATCAAAGGATTTGTATTGAATTTTGCTTACAAAATTTAATAAAGTATGTGAAATGTTAACATAAGCCTATGGTGAGTCTGCTATGAGTAAAACAAGGATTTACGAGCGGTGTTAGCGTTTCCAAGATGACAGTGAAGATGTTGAAGATGACGAACGCCCTGGCGTCTCAGCACATCAACAACTGATGAAAATGTGAAAGAAATGATTATGAATATTTGCTGAATCACAATCATAGAAGTTTCTGATGATGTTGAATTGGCTCATGTCATGAAATTTTTTCAAATGTTTTGGGTATAAAACACGTAGCAACAAAATTTGTTCCAAAATTGTTGAATTTTGAACAAAAACTGTAACGAATGGAAGTTGCTCAGAAATCATTTGAATTCAACAATGATGCAGAATTACTGAAACGTGTTATAACAGATAATGAAACATGGGTTTATGGATACGATGTCGAAACTACAGCTCATTCGTCCCAGTGGAGGCATTTTGGATGCCAAGACGGAAAAAGAATTGACAAGTACAATTGAATGTGAAGGTTATGCTCAGTGTGTTCTTTGATTTTAATGGCATAGTGTATTATGAATTCTTGAGGTCTAACGGTCAATAAGGTATACTACTTACAAGTTAAATGCTGTTTGTGTAAAGAAATTAAAAAAAAAATGCCTGGAATTGAGGCAAAACAATTAATGGCTTTTGCACCATGATAATACACACTTCATTTATTGTTCGTAAATTTTTGTCCAAAAACAATACTGTAATGATGCTTTAGCTACCATATTCGCCAGACATAGCTAGTGGGCCTTTTTCTTTATTTCCAAAAATAAAGAAAAACTTAAAGGACCCTAGTTTTACAAGCATAGATGACATTAAAAGCGCATCACTGAATGAGCTGAAGGCTATACCAAGGATCAAGTTTGAGAAGTGTTTCAAGGATTGGATGAAGCATTAGCACAAGTGTATAATATCTAATGGGGACTAGAAGGTGACAACATTAATGTAAACTAATAAATAAATGTTTTTTTTGATAAATGAAAATTCTCATTTTATTCTGAACACACCTCGTACAAATAATTATTATTGAAGTTGAGATTATTCAAAAATGAGAGTTCACTACAAATATAAATTAGTATCTATGTAATTAATTTCTTTTCATAATGCATTATTATTTATTTTATTTTTTTGTGAACTAAAGGATTTTCAATACAAGTTTACCTTGAAAATGAATGCATATTAAATTTTTTATAGATTGGTGGTAGAAGTGTTGTGGCTAAAGAAGTTGAACAACATGTATTAATAGTTGAAGAAGAACAAAAATTTATGAAACTATTAGAAGTGTTGGGTAATTATTATGAAAAAGGAAGTTGTATTGTATTTGTAGATACTCATGAAAATGCAGATACTCTGTTACAAAAACTATTAAAAGCATCTTATCCTTGTATGGCTTTACATGGTGCTATTGATCAGTATGATCGTGATAGTACTATAGTAGATTTTAAAAGTGGTCAGGTCAAATTATTAGTTGCTACTTCAGTTGCTGCAAGAGGACTAGATGTTAAAGATTTGATATTGGTGGTAAACTATGACTGTCCAAATCATTATGAAGATTATGTTCATAGATGTGGGAGAACTGGAAGGTAAAAATATCATTATTTTAAGTATTATTATCTTAAGTTATGTAGGCATTTATAAATATTTTTTAGAGCTGGTAATAAAGGGTATGCTTATACATTAGTTTCTCCCGATCAAGAAAGATTTGCTGGAGATTTAATCAGAGCCTTAGAAACATCTAATGTATCTGTCCCAGATTCTTTACGAACTATGTGGTTACGTTATCAAGCAAAACAAGCAGCTGTAATTTTTTCTTAAATTATATATTTTTAAATACTTAAAAGTTAAAAAAAATGTTGAATTCATTTTTTTAGGAAGGGAAGCAAGTTCATAAAGGTGGAGGTTTTAGTGGAAAAGGTTTCAAATTTGATGAAACAGAAGCTGTAATGGCAAATGAAAAGAAAAAACTTCAAAAAGCTGCTCTTGGACTTCAAGATTCTGATGATGAAGATATAGAAGGAGATATTGACCAACAAATTGAAACTATGTTAGCTCCTAAACGAATTGTGAAAGAAGTTAAGGCTAGTGCTATAGGTCTTCCAAATTTAACAGGCTTAAGTAATATAATAATTATTTTATATTTTCAATTTAATTGTTTATAATATGATTTTATTTATGTTTAGTGGAATCTAATGGAACACCACAGGCATCTGAAAGATTAGAATTAGCAAAACGTTTAGCCTCTCGTATTCATATTGCTAAAAATCTTGGTCCTGATGCTAAGGGAGCATCACAGCAAACAGCTGAAGCTATATTAAAAGGGGGTCTTGCTAGCTCACAACCAGTCATAACAGCTAAAACAGTAGCAGAACAATTAGCAGCTAAATTAAACACGAGGCTCAATTATCAACCTAAAGATGATGATGGTGAAACTGATTTTACAGACATTGCAGAAAATGGTGGTGAAGAAGTTTTTAGAAAATATGAGGAAGAATTAGAAATAAATGATTTCCCACAGCAGGCCAGATGGAGAGTCACATCTAAAGTCTGTATATTTTAATTTTTTTAGTGTTCTTCATTTTAAAGTTGCTTTGTATTTTCAGGAAGCATTAGCACAAATATCAGAATATTCTGAAGCTGGCATAACTGTTAGAGGAACATATTACCCACCACCTAAAAACCCCCCTGAAGGAGAGCGAAAGCTGTTTTTAGCTATAGAAAGTACGGATGAATTAGCTGTATCTAAAGCTAAAATAGAAATTACTCGTCTCATTAAAGAGGAATTATTAAAAATGCAAACATCTGCACATCATATGATTAATAAAGCCCGATATAAAGTTTTGTAAAATAGTATACAATTAATTTTTTTAAGTGCATTCATTTTATTTACAAATATTAAAAAAAGATTATTAGCACATGGATATAATTTTATTTTGTTTTAATAGAATTTTCATAAGTAACTAGAGCCTTCTGAAAAAAAAAAATAAAACCTTGTTAAAAATATTATATTAACATTAGTATTTGAAAACCTTCTCATAATTACCTTAAATGTTTTTTTAACATGATTCATCATTTTGTTTAACTCATGAATACCTTTTTTGAAAACTTCTTCTACACTATTACCAGGTCTAACTTTTAAACGTAGATATATCTTATTCTCTGATGGATGCCTAATTGAATAGGCACAAAATTCAGTCTCTGGAAAACTTTCTAATACATAAGTGAGTAATGAGCCTAGAGTATGACCTTCATCTTCAAAAACAAATGTTCTGTCTAACTCTGACTGTTCTTTTTTCACATCATCTTCTAAATCCTAAGACAAAAATCAAGAAATTATTAATAGTTTGTTGGGGTGAAAGAAGCTTCATAACTGGTGTTCAAGAAGATGAATATAAAAAATTGTATCCATCAGTGAAAATAGCTAATACTATTAAAGTAAAAAACAAAGTAACTGAAATAATAATAAAAGAGACTTATAATAAACTGTTATCTAATACTTTTAAAGTAAATTTTAGCAAAATGTGTTGCTGAATAGTTAAGATGAAAAATAAATAAAAACAATCATAATTTTTGTGTACATAATTCCCATTGTGATCACATTTATGAATACATGCTTAATATCTCATAAAATTAAAAAAGTAAGAATAGCAATTGTACTTTTAAATAAAATCTTATAATTATATAATAATGAAAATATGTGTTGTTATAAGGTTAAGTAATCAATAAATAATTTTAAATGATATGAACAATTATTTAACACCCTCAAATGTATAAATTTCTTAGAGCTCAAAAATTAGACAATATATTAAGATAAGGATAAACTAATAAAGTTTTATATGATCAAATAAAACTGAAATATCTGAAATTATACATTATATTTAGTAATATGTTTTTTTACTACTTTATCCTGGTCTAAATCAAAACTACTTGGGATCGGCCACCCTTGTTCTAAATTTCTAATAGATACAATCTTCCACATCATCTACGCTCACATCAGCTATCCTCATATCGCATTCAATAACATAGCTCCTTCTATTTTTTGGTTTTCTTCTACCTCTTTTTCCTTCAACATTCATTTCTATAACTGTTCTTACAGCTTCTGATTCCTCTCACCTCTTACATAATCAAACAAACTAAGTCTATTTTCTCTAAGCATTATCATCTCTATTAAACTCATTCTCTGCTCTACTTTTTTGTCTATCACCCAACATTCCAAACCATACATCATATCTGGTCTCACTACAGTTTTATAGAACTTACCTTTCATCGTTATTGGAATTATTTTATCTCACATCACATCAGACACTTCTCTCCATTATAACTACTCATACTTAATCCACTGTGTCTTACATCCTTTTCAATACCACAGTTCTTTTGCACAACTGATCATAAATACTTAAAACTTTACACCTCTTCTATCACGTCCTCGCTTATTGCCAATGATCTCCTCAATTCACCTACCTGGTGTTCACCTGTCAAACTCATACTCTGTATATTCTGTCTTACTCATACTTACTCTTTATTCCTTTCCTTTAAGAGCTGATCTCCACACCTCTAGCCTTTGATTAATTTCCTCCCTATATTGTCAGTGAACAACATGTACCACCATTCTCATCTAATAAAATTTTATTAAAAAGATCCTTCAACTACCTTATGCCAACACCGCCTAATATTTTCCATAACAGGTTGTTCAAAAAGTCACAGGATTAACCATTAGAAGGTGACTTTAATAACTTACTCTTATGATTTATAGTTAGCACTAACCTTTAAATGAAATGTGTCAAAATTTTATGTCATTTCAACAACGCATTTCTAAGTTATAGTCGTTAGAGTAAAGTTACTTTTGTTATCTTGTAAGCAATGGATAAAAAAGAATTTTGCATGTGGATTAAACTTTGCTATTAGATGAGAAAAAACTTTGTGAAAACTCAGGAATGGCTTGAAAAATGTTATAAGGACTCTGCCTCATCAAAAACAACTAGTTGTTACTGGTTTTCTGAATTTAGACACAAATGACGCTGAATGCTCAAGACGCCCAACTGAGACAGTTATGCCAGAAAACATAAAAAATCCATAACATATTGGATAATTGTAAAGTGAAAGTGAGATGGCTGACATTGTAAAGATATTAATTGACCATATGCATCATAATTTACATAAATATTTGGGTATAAGAAAGCTATGTTCAGAATGGGTGCCACATTTGCTAACAGTGGATCAAAAATAACAACATGTCAAAGATTCACAGAGCTGTTTGGAGCTATTTAACAAGAATAAGAAGGAATTTGTACGTCAATATGTGCCAATGGATGTAACATGGATCTACCATTACACTACCAAATTGAAACAACAGGCAAGTGGGTGGACTAGACCCAGTGAAAATGCTCCAAAGCGGCCAAAAACACAACAATCAGCAGGCAAGGTTATGGCTTCGGTATTTTGGGATGCGTATGGAATTATATTTATTATCTCGAACATGGTGAAACAATCAATAGCGATTACTATATTGCGTTATTGGAACATTTGATGGCCGAAATCGGGAAAAAAACATCTCAATAGGAAAGAAAAATATCCTGTTTCACCAAGACAATGCACCGTGTCACAAATCATTACATTGGCAAAAATGCATGATTTGGATTTTGAATTGCTACCACATCTATCTAGTCCAGATTTGGCCTATAGTGACTACTACCTCTTCGCGAATTTTAAGTGGATGCTCCAAGGAAAAAGATTCAACTAAAATGAAGATGTCATTGTCAAAACTAAGGTATATTTTAAGGGCAAAGATAAATCATTCTATTCGAAAGGCATAGAAATGTTAGACACATCTCTGGAATGAATGTGTCACTCTAGAAGGAAACTATGACGATGAATAAAGTCAAATTTTGAGAAAAAAATTTTTTTTATTTGTTAGTCTTGAGACTTTTTCAACAATCTGTTACATATACTGGTACTTCATCTGGTCCTACTACTTTATTCTTTATGTTCAGTAATATATTTATTAATAAATTTTAAAAATTACCACCAACAATTTTTTTTAAGTCATATATTTTAATAAAACTAAAAAATTTATGAACTACAAGTATTTAAATTAAAAATTATAACCAAAAAAGTTATATTGATATTAAATTCAAAAAATTCATTAGTATAAAATGTTTTACTATTCTTTGAAATTAAAGAAATCTACAGATATTTTAAAAGGATATTATCAAAATAATACTTTTCTTCAATATTTTTTACACAAAATTGGGTAGAGTTTAATAATTTAATCATGTATAATAAAATTGATCAAACCATTTTCTAAATCAAATTTTATCATACTAACATTTTTAATGAAAATTTTTTTTTAACATAACTGAATTATCGTATACTTACACTCATAATGTATATTTTAATGTATATTATAATGTATAAGTCACCAACTTATAATGTAATTTATAGAATTTTTTTTCTTTAAATTAATAAGTATTGATTAAAATAATTTTAATAAAAAATAATTTAAAAAAATATGAGACAATGTAAATAATATAGTAAATTAAATAAAGCAAAATAAATAAAAAAACGAGTTAATCAAGATAAATCATAGTAAGGAATATTACAATATTCAAATAACTTTTAAAGACTAAAAGTTCTCTAAACAACAATTTAAGTTTACAGGTTTATGATAAGTACAACATAAACATTATCACAAAAACCACGTGTGTTGCACTTAGTGATGGCAATAATCTTATATTTGGTAATAGACAGGGTGTAGGGCACTTTTTAGAAAAATGTTTACGACTCACTATTATTTTTCTATTCATTTATGCCAACATTAGAATACAAATATATATTTATGCAATTAGTACGAATACTCGGTTATGTTACACTCTTGTGATACCACAGATAAAATAAACCTTTGAGTTTACCAGTTTTACCTGATTGTGGTAATACTATGATATTAAGCAAAAACAAAAAAAAGACTATAATATTTCAAATTAGGCTTTTTCATTTTTTTATCATTTTTCTAAACAGTATTGAGCTTTCAGTAAAGTAAACCTATAACACAAATGTAAAACTTACTTTGTGATATAAAACATATACTGAAACTTCATTACAGAAATTACAAGAACTATTCAGTCTAATTTATATGCATCTATTGAGCAAATTCTGACACATACTACTTAAAGTGAAGTCAGTTTAGTTTGTAAATTCGGTCTTATCAAAGGTTGAGTATTGTTCTTATGGTATAATTTAGTATCAGATGAACTTGACAATATTCATTGAATCATATTAAATACTTGGGAGACGATTATCACTTCAAAATATACTTTAAAAACTGACTCGTTTTCCTTAATTACTGTTGACCATAAAAATTTTTGTTTGATCTATCTTCATAGGATTCATTATATCCTATTATTGCTGCATTCGTATAAATTTATTATAAGATAACAATTAAATTTTAATTCTAGCCACTGCCTTTTTCCCTTATTTGCAGACGTTTTGGTTTTAATTTAACAATAAATATAGTACATTATATGTAAATATGTTATTATAAACATTATAATGTTATAACATTATTATGTTATTTATACATATATTTATGTATAAATAAAAATACGCCTATAAAGTTTATACGTATACCTAAACTCTCTATATGTATAAAACTAAGAATAAAATTATAACGATTCTATTCCCAAAAAATGTAAATGATACATTGTAAAAAATGTTACGTAATACTATCAAATTATATAATTTTTTTGAAATCAGCAATGTATTAAAAATATCAGAGCATAGTTACATAATATTTTTTTGTAAATCAATTTTTTCTATGTTTAACAATAATATGATAGAGCAGATGTCGTCAATAGGCAACAGATAGATGGAAAATTAATGGATCTAATAACATTTCACTTTTTTGTTTTGTTTTTTAATAATACATTAAATATAACAAAGTCTAAATTAAAATTAATTTATTAGCAATTAATGTTTTTCTTGTCACCAATTCTTTTTTATTTTTGAAACCATCTGGCTTTTTTTAATTCATTGTACATGATTGACAGAATAATTTACCACCTATTTTTATTTTATTTTTCCTGTGATTTGTGAATTATTATCACATTACCTATTGAAATTATTAGCTTAAAGTTATAGTATTAGTTATAATGTTTAATTACAAAATGACAATTCCATCGTTACGTGGGAAAATAAGCATCGGTGAAAAAATGATTTATCACTTCCCAAAACTTTCCATAATTTTATTTTGTTCATATTAGCCCTAATATTTCTTTAAAATGAATCTAAATAAATACCTAAAATTGGTTTAAATTGAACGTTAATTATAGAATTTTAAATTTAACTTAAAAATGTTTATTAATTCAAAATCATAAAATTGTATAATTGGTTAACTTTTACATGAAATAGTTCAGATTTTCTATTTTATTAATTCGAGTTAATATGTGCTTTTAAGTAGAATTTGGAAGTGGCTAACTTTATACTAACCAATTAAAGTCCATTTTACGGTATTCAAAATATCGAAATAAATCAAAATATTTTTCGAATAATAANGTATTCAAAATATCGAAATAAATCAAAATATTTATCGAATAATAAAAAAGCTATAGATGAATACAGTAAAATACTTCTTCTCCTTCCTCGTCTTAATCCCAACTACTTGGGGTCGGCCACCCTTATCCTAAACTTCCACTTGACACGATCTCCCACATCCTCTACGCTCACATCAGCTATCCTCATATCGCATTCAATAGCATCCCTCCTCTTTTTTGGTCTTCCTCTACCTCTTCTTCCTTCAACATTCATTGCTACAACTGTTCTTACGGCTTCCGATCCTTCTCTCCTCATAACATGACTAAACAATCTAAGTCTATTTTCTGTCATCTTATCCACGACTGACGCAACACCTATACTTCCTCTTATATGCTCGTTCCTTATCCTATCTTCTCTAGTCACTCCACTCATCCGTCTAATCATTCTCATCTCTGCTCTACTTTCTTATCATTCGCCCAACACTCTGAACCATACATCATAGCTGGTCTCACTATAGTCTTGTAGAATTTACCTTTCAGCCTCATTGGAATTCTTTTATCGCATAAGACACCAGACGCTTCTCTCCACTTCAAGCGTCATGTATTCATGAATACAGTAAAATACAATTTGCATAAATAAAAATTAAGAAAGTGATAAAATTATGATTTTTTTTTATATTAACATTTTAAATATGCTTATTAATCTATTTATTAATTTTCAGAAAATTCGGCTCTGCAGCAACTTAAGGATTAAATAGTTAAAAACTATTTGATAACATTCATGATAGAGAATTGAAACTGATTTTTAAGAATAGTCTATCAAATAGTGCGAATGATCATACTACTCTATATATAAAAATTATTGTTTGCGTACATGTATATGTAACTTTTGAATTCCTTTAAATAGTTTATTTTTATAATTATATGTTTTTAATCCTCAATTGTATTGTCGAAGTAGGTCTTTTCTTTTGTATCCACCGCTACTCACAGTCCCCATATTGTAAAAATAGATTCGTGTAATATCCTGGGTCCAAGGACACTATCAATTATTTGCATTGTCAATACTTTAGTCATTATTAATATTTTTAATTTCAAAATATTCATTCCCATATTTTATTTTTAACCTAAATCGGATTGACTCACTAGGAAACCGTTTTCTAAATTAAATTAATTGTTTGTAACGTATTAAAAAAAAAAAATTGAGGGGTCTTGAACAATTGTACCAGAAAACACGCACTGGTTTAATTTTTCTATGCTTATTAATTTTTTTAATTCACTTATAATTATAAATTTAAAATGCTTTTATTTATTTAAAAATTTTTCTTTTTTTATAGTAGATAATGATTTTTGTTATATTTTTTCTGCGAGTAGTACGTGACCAAATAATGTAGTCTATGTTCTATGATTTAATGATTTGAGTGTTTATCTATAATCTTATCCCCTCCATATGACCAGTGTTTTAAAATATGCAGTAAAATCCAATTAGTTCTTTTTCAGATTCTTCAGTGAAAAGTAATTGATGTCAATATAAAGTTCTACATAGTTTTGAAATCAAAAAGAGATTGAGTAAGTAAAGTAGGACTTAACTGAGCGACATAAATATAGCACATCGAGAGTTTTTCGTTGTATAGTATACTTTATATATTAATATTCAAATACTTTATTATTGAGTGATGACTTAAAATATTTTTTGAAATAAAGATGTATCATATAATTAAATTTGGATTAATGTTAATAAATTTAGTATAATGAACAGTTCTACAAAGAGTAGATCAAATATTTTCGCCATTTAATATTTTCTAACTTTTTTTTTGTATTTTAAATGAGATAGTTAATTTTTCTTTTTCTTTGCGTGTAGTTTTGATATTATTGAAATTTTTATCAGTTCATATAGTAAACATCAAAAATATTGTATTGTAATTTAAGTATAATAGGCATTATGAAAAATAACGCTGGCGATAAACAATTACCGTCTCCCCACTAATAATTTCAAAATGTAAGTAATTTTAATTACTCATTTTTCAATTCCTATGCGGTAAACACGGCAATTATCATATTATTTGTGAAATAAAATTCATAGCTATTTAGACCAATATACCTAGTAGTGTACTTATAATGTTGAAGCCACAAAATTATTTTATAACTTTTTATCATTTTAAAAATTTTAATTTATGGTTATAATTATTTAAACATTATAGACAGTAAACTTTACTTATTAATATGATGTTCGAACTATTAGATTTTCGAACCAAATCGAAATTAGGGTTTTTAGTAGTGATGGGAATTTTCGAATATTTTAAATTATCGTATAATTATTCGAATTGTTTTTATACAACCGAATAGTTTATTTTTAGCATAAACTATTCGAATATATTGTGTAACTATCTAATATTTTTACTATTCGAATATTTTTTGAATCACTATGGAATAGTTCAAATAGTGGACAACTATCGAATAGTTCGATAATTACTATTCGATATTTCTCATCACTAGTTTTTAGATTCAATAAGCGAACCGAACTTCTTGTACATTAAATTTTTTGAATAATGATATAAAAAATATTTACCTGAAAATGATTTAAATTGATGTTCGGTTCAAGTTTGACTAAAAAATTGAAAGTTTAGTTTGGCTCCAAAAATTAGGGCTCATGACATCACTATTTATTTAATATTCCTAAATAGTTTTACATATTACACAACACAAAAACCAAACTTTGTTTTATGTTTTTTTGGAATGAATACTTATAATATAGTAGGTATAAATTACTCACATGAAATATATTTGTGTTACTGTATTGCGTTTTTAAAAAATATATGTATATTATTATATTGAACAGGTGAACGGCATGGTATAAAATATCAAGATTAAACCAAATTGTTTTCTATTAACGAAAACTAAATCGATCTTTGATCGAATATTAACTAATTTACACAGTTCAAAACAAATTTTTTAATGCAAACAAAATTATTTACTGACTTCAATTATGTTTGTTGGAAAACGTAGAAACTTTGATTTAAGTATTTAATGGAAAATAAAATTAACTTCAAGAGTTTCTATGATAATATCATATTCTATTAATAGACATACAATAACTATAAAGGTAAGCTAATACTTAAGAGAATACATTGAAAACTAGTTATAAATCTTCAGTTAGAAATTAAATAGTTCAAAATTAGTTGTATAATAATATGATTTCAATGAAAAAATGTATTTTTTTTATGTATTAAGCATTAAAGAATAATTTAAAATACATTAAACAAATTGAGAAAAAATTAAATAAAAAGTGTTGTGCTGTAATAATTATAAATTATATATATATATATATATATATAATTAGTAATTATTAACATAACTGTAGGATAATCAGCGAATAATAGTTAAAATTGTTTTTTATATATTATATTCAATATAATTAATATATTATAATAAAGTATACAGTAAATAAATATAGTTTCTATATAGAATAAAACTTCGGATCAGGGCCGGGTCTAATGCACAAGTCACACGGATGAAAAAACCTTAAATTTTTTGGTATATTCATTTAAAATTTAAAACAGTAAGCTAAAGAAAATAAGATAATCAAAACATTTAAAAGGAGTCTTTAAAATTTTGCCTAGATAGAGAAAAAAATTTGAGCAGGTCTTACTTCGGCTTAGTTTAAAGAACTGTAAACAATAGTTGCCACGAACTTAAAAATATGGAGGGTTGAAATATTATTTTTATCGACTAAAATTATTTTAAAACTGTGTGACCTTATCTTAAAGTTTTTTGGTAATCTCATGTTTGAAAAATTTCCGATTAAAACAATAATATCTATGTGTATATACCTACATACTGTCTAATAAGAAGAGGAGGAGAAATAAATTTTAAATTATAGGTTAACAATTTTTATAATTAACTACCAAGAGACATTTATATATAATTAATGTCACACATAGGATTACATATAAAGTTTTGTTTAAGATACTGATGACATTTTTATCAAAAAAAATTTTAACATAATAATCAATGGTGATAATAAAATTATTAAAAACAACTCCAATTTCTTTTCGATTAAATCCCAACTATTTTGTTTATTTCTTTTATGAAATTGTTGACTAAATTAAAGGTAATTTACTAATGTGCATTTATAGTTTCACATATTATCTATCAGATTAGATAAATAAATTTTTACTTTGTACATGTAGTATATTATCAAACCTTGAGATTCAATGATTGACGAATTGTTTAATTTTTTTTATTCTTTGAATTCTAAGATCAGTAAAAATTAATCATGGTTAGGCGACGTATGAAAAGTGAGTGATTAATTTATAATAAAATATCATAGTTAAAGGATTTTTTTGAAAGAAATTAGTACATTATAGTTTTATAATTATATTCCAATTGCCACGAAGCAAGTTTTTAGTTAATTTATTTTCCCCTACCGATATCATCAATTATACCCACCCATCATGATCATCTTTTTATAATATACATTAGTTTTACGCTTCTAAAGTTTATGGTATTGAACTGACATACACCAATTTTATGACACTAATAAATGGGTTGATGTGTAGTTTACATAAGACAAATTAGAGGATAGAAGATAAGGTAATACGTAGTAATATCACAAAACAATTGTTCTATGGCGATATCTTATCAAATGAAATTTATTGTATAGCTGCTTAAATATAAACATGTTATAAATTTCAATCGATATCGTTTTAAGTTTCCATGACAACGTCTTTAAGTCGCTTGTTGCACAATTTCGTTGGATCGTTGTATTTTTAATCTAGTTATTTATAATTATATTTTTATATAAAATAACGTGTTAAAATTTACTTTGTTTTAAATTTGCCGCATTTATTAATTAGAGCATTATTACTATTGGATGTATGTTAGTCAATTATTGTAGTAGTGTTGATGAATTTTCGATGTATAATTATTTTTAAATTAAAATTATGTTATTTTTCAGATATAAATAAATTAAGTAACATGGAATCTAACAAAAATACTCTTCCAGTCCAAAATGCAGCTGATATTTCTGGTTATACAAAAATATACACCATCTCCCAGGTATGAAAAATTTTTTAGCAATATATTAGCGATTAATTTTTTTTAATTTTGTAATTTTAGGTTATTGGAATTGTAATAATTTTAGCAATGTATTATTGGCTTGAGTTTTACCGTGGTGGATTTGGTTTTGGAGCAAAGGTTATATTCAATTGGCATCCATTGCTTATGACGATTGGTTTTATTTTTTTCTTTGCTAATTGTGAGTAAATATTTTATGAATATATATTTATTTAATATAAATAACATCTTAATGTAATTTTATTTAATTATTTATTTATTTATTAAAAAATGGGTTTCTACACACACACACACACACACACACACCTACATATGTATATTCACATATATTTCAGGGGAGATTTCAATGAGTGTCTTTGCACTTCTTGAGATTTTTCATATCAAAATCCTAGTCATATAGTTAGTTATTTGCACAATATTTTAAAATTGGTAATTTATATAGTTGACTAATTTAAAGGAAAATGTATGATATTTTTAAAGAAAATAATAAATAACTGTAATACAGTTTTGATTTAATTATTTTGTAATTTATTTTCAAAATGTAAAGAAGTAATCTTTTTCAATTATGTACAATTAATTGCTTATGACATTTTCAAAAAATAAATTTTCAAAGCAATGCAAAATATAAGGTCAGGTAAATTAAATTAGCTATTTTATATTATTTATCATTAAATATTTTATATCATTTTTGTTTAATATATTGCTGAAGAAATTGTTACAGTGGAAGAAGTTTTTCTACTTCACTCAAGGCGTAAAATTACAAAATACTAGAGTTAATTTCAATTAAAAATTACAAATTCAATTACAAATCAAGTTTTATGATAATACTGAAAAATGTCAGTTGATATTTGCACAGTTTTTTTCTTTCTAGTTTCAAACTATGGATTGTTTTGTATCTATCTTCCTTTTTTCTCTATTTTCCTATTTTATTTTTATTTTTACATACGAGTCATATCTTTGGTTATTATTGCTGCATATAGAGTGGATCAGATCTTTCTGATAACTCTTATAACTTTTAATCTACTTAAATTTTCACTTTTTCTTTTAGCTTCGATGCGAAACTGAGAAGGTATTAGTTTTACTATGATGTGTTTTTTTTGTGTTTGTGTCTGTTACTACTTTTTCTCAGCTCTCACCGAACCGATTTCTTTCAATGATACGTCAAAAGATCACAAATTGTATCTAGTCGAAGACATTATCCTCAAAAATTGAAAAAAATTCCCTCGTTCCCGTAAATGGGGGAAACCTCAAAAATGAACATAACAATATAATTTTTTTTTTATAGATGCATGATATTATTACCTTTCATTTGGTAAATATTTTTTTTATATCTGACCCTTTACCCTCCACAGGGGGGGATTTAAAATGACAACTTTTTCACAAAAAATTTACTTTTTCAACTTAAATTTTGAAAATGTTTTGGAAAGTCTGACACTTTTATATATATCTTAAATTAAAGCTAATGTAATTTACCTTATTATGCGAAAAAAAAAATGTCGGACTTTATTTTATCTTCACGGGGAAAATGGCTACCAAATGCTATTTTTGTGTGAAAATTTTCGATTTTGTATTTTACATTTTTAACTTTATAATGCTATGACATATTGAAAAGTGTATGGATCAACATTATTTTTTTATGAGAAATAATATTTTTTAATAATCCCTTTTTCATTCGACATACTTTATTTTAATTAGGATATTAATAAGGAACTAGCAGATCATGTAGCTTTTGGAATAATCCACCAATTTTTTAAAATTAAACACTCTAAAGATTTGCATTGAAGCGTTTTTTTTATAGTGATTTTAATCACTGTCAGTTATCATTATGCTTGATCCATCTATGCCACGTTACCACTGTGCCGCGACCCCCCTGTGCTGGGTTTTTTTTTTCAATCAATTCTAACAGACTTGGTCTACAATCTAAAATTTTTTTTAATTCCATAAAAAAAAAATTTAAATGTTGATATCATAAAATTATATTAATGCAGCTGTTTAATTGCTAGGCTATTTAAAGTATGTTAAAATTAGAATTTTTAGTGTTCTTTTTTTATAGTATCAAACAATGATGGTGTTATTAAAAAAAGGATAAGAGTAACCATAAATTTTCATACTACTTATTTCTTATACTATTACCATTTTCTCATAAAAATTATTAATGGTCAAATATTATGGTAGAAGTATTTTTATCCCCTATCCACAGGGAAAATTTAATGATTTTAAACAATTGATATTTTGTCTTTTCCCTTATATTTTTCAGTAGTTCAACCGGGATATTGTTAATTCCTGTTGCTCTTTTGTTACTCAGTTTTCTTAGAGACTTCTTGAATTTACTGATAAGTATTTCAGATCCTTTTCCATCTTCATTTACATCTATTTTATTTTCTTATATTCCTCTTCATTTTCAATCCCCTCTTTTCCCTCATATAATTCTTCCATATACATTTTCCACCTCTTTACTACCTTTTCATTTTCCAACAGAATTTTGCAATGTTTATCTTTAGCTATGCTGCTAGATGTCTTGGTTTACATTGCAGTTTTTTAATTTTATTATAGGCTTTGCTTGTATTGTTGCTTGGTAGATCACATTCTATTTCTTGTATGTTTATTTATCAGTTTCAGTTCTTGCTCTTCCCTAGTCCATATTTTCCTAAGAAGTTACTTCTTTCATAGCCTAATGAGGCGTTAAATTGCCTATGATAAATACATTTGAATTACATTCTATTTGTTGCATGAGTTCTTCAATGTGTTTGTATGTTTTTTCAATTTCTTCAACTGTACTTCTAGATGTAGGCAAGTACACTTGTATAATGTAAATGTTTGTAGGCTATGCTTCTATTTTCACCATCAGAAATCTGTCATTTAAGTGTTATGATTTGAGTACATTTTCTTTCCATTTTCTTCATAATATCATTGTTGCCCCGTTTTCATATATGAAATTACCATTTCCTGCCCATTTTGTTTCACTTATACCAAGTACATTTAGCTTTGCTTTCTTAATTTGTTCTTTTACTTCTTCCAGCCTCCTTGTTTTAATCATTGTCTTCGCATTCTATAGACCTATACTTAAATAGTCTTATTTAGTCTTTCCACAAGATTTTTATTGGATGATGACCTGAGTAGTCTTGGTTCTATTCCTGCCAGATGTGTAGGAATTCTATGATCAGTACGTCTTTTCATTTTCATTGTACATCATTTAGTTAGTAACAGCTTCTTGGGTAGGAATATCATAAAGATCTTTAATGCAGTGGTTTCTCTGTTGCCTTCTGCATCCTCATGGCTAATGATCGACCTTTGAAGGTAATTTCTCATCTACAGGACAAGTGATTGCCCCTCTCTTGCTACTCATCCAACCTTTTGATTATTGGTTTTTAGAGTTTGCTCCTTATTCCAGGAGTTGATCGGATTATTGGAATTGTCTGCCTGAGACTTTCTACCAGTGAATCTCTGGGTTTGCTATACCCATAGTATATGTAAGCTATATATTCCCCTGAGGGAGAAACCTACCAATACAAAATTTTAAATTAATAATATTAATCATCTTACATTTCTTCAAATTTTTATATTAACTGTTGATTATTTTATTTTATTTGAGTTATTAATTTTTTAATATAAAATGGAAACATATGATTACAGCTATTTTGCATTATCGGACATTTAGAAACAATAAGAAGTCTACATTGAAAAATCAACATGCAATTATACATGGTGTAATTATTATACTTGTATTGCTAGCAGCATGGGCTGCAATTGCTTCGCACATTTATGCCAGTCCTCCAATACCTAATTTCTACAGTCTACACAGCTGGATAGGAATAATTACAACGCTTATGTTTCTTTGTCAAGTAAGTTCATTAAATGAACTTATGTAAGTAATTATAAATTTTATAATTACTTATTTAATTAAATAGTTCATAATAATTTATTTTTGATAAATATGTTACATTGAATACTTTATTTAATTACAAAAGATATTTTTCTTTAGCAGAAAATTATATATAAATCCTTTGGTTAAGACTTCTGACATATAGATTTATTTTAATTTGTTATAAATTTCATAAAAGTGGGTATAAAAGTAAGTCTTATCAATATCAGTATAAATACACTAATATTAATTTATAATGAATGAGCATTGTAAAATATCTAAAAGTCCTGTGAAAGAAAACTGACCATCTTTAGTATCAATAAGACTATGTCAAATTATAACTGCAAACAAATTTTACTGTTTATTATTTTGATTCTAGTTTATTTGGTATCAAAACTTGACTTTTTAACCAAAAATATTCCTAGTTTAAAGTTGATAGTATGTCTTGAACATTACATTTAAATATTGTTGATTGGAAAGTGATGCACAATCATAAAACTTATTTTTAAAAATATACAATTCTGATGACTTGGTTGTTATTAGATGTTTCAATAATAATACTATACTGAAAACAATTGATGAAAAATTAAATTGTGAATAATTTTTGTCATTGAAAATAGTTTTGTGTTTAATTAAAAAATATCAAAATTTATACATAAATATGTATTTTTAATGAAGTAACACAATACATTTGGTTTTTTTTTAGTTTATTGGAGGATTTGTCTCTTTTCTGTACCCTGGTATATCAGTTCAATATAGAGAATCACTTATGCCATACCATGTATACTTTGGTGTATTAAACTTTGCATTAGCAATTGGAACTTCAGTCTTAGGACTTGGTGAAAAAGTTATATTTGCTTTGTAAGCAATTAATTTAAATTCAAAAACAAAATTGTATTCCAATAAAATGTAATTTTTTTTAATTTTAGAGACAAAGAATATAAGCATTTACCTGCAGAAGCATTTGTTGTAAATATCCTTGGAATTGTAATTGCTGCTTATGGAGCAATTGTAATTTATCTAGTTACTAAATCACAGTACAAAAGAATTCCCAATGCAGAATCTGGAGTATTATTGACAGGTGCTTTAGAATAATTAAAATTTAATTATAATAATTAGTATTGTAAAATTTATCTAATGAATATATTAAATTGTTCTAAAGACTTATATTAATTATTCTATTTTAAAATATTTTTTTTATATGTTTTTTTTTTATTTATTTTTTATTTTAACTATAACTAATATATATACAAATTTTTAATTGAATATCACATTAAAAAATGAATGTATTAAATTTGTTTTAATTATGTGTTGTGTATTAAGATCTTATACAGTTCTTGTTTTATAATATATATTTATAAAAATTATATAATATAATAATTAATGGTGCTTGAAAAAATGTATTTATTATTTATTATTTTTGTTTGGTCCTATTTGTTGTTATGAAAGTTTTATTATCTAGAATTAAATGAAATTACATAGTTGACTATGAGCATAAAATTTAAATATATGAAATAGTGAAAGGATTTAATACAGGGTGTCCCACTATTCTGAAATTCTTATTAACTTAAGATCCAGCAAATACTTTGCAATACTTATTTTTTGATTTTGAATAAGCCATATTTTTTATCTCTTATAAAAAAACAATTTTTTTTTTTAATTTATTGAATTTTTTAAAATCTACTTTAATTTCTTTTTTTTACAATAAAATTTTGATGAGTCTATAATAGTGTTAAAATAACTTATTTTACTTATTGAATAACAAGCGCAGGTCTTGGGTATATTTATAACAATATATGCTACACACTAACTCAGTGTATTAAAATGATTGTATCTAAATAAAAACTTATTCTAAATCTGTTATCAACCCAACATTTTTGTAAGGAAAATGTTAAAAAAAGTATCTTGAAAAATAAAAAACCATTTATATTTGTATTTGTATTTTTTTATACTGAGTGATTGATTAACCCTTAGCAATACCTTTCAAAGTATAACATATATTATAATATTTTCTACTCAGAAGTCAGATTTGTATTTAATCAATGCAAATATTAATGGTAACTTACGTTTTATCATTTTTATAAACCAGTTAATTAATCGAGAAATAAAACAATATTGATTAATTTTTTTTTAATTTTATTTATTGTTTATATATGTTTTTATCAATCGTTAAGTATATTTTATGTTCACCTATTATACTTGAACAATTTAAAGTAACAACTATGAGTGCTGCTATTTTATTCACTGTATTTCTCGGCTTCACTCCAGTCTAGGTATAAAAAAATGAGAATAACTTTTGAAGTACTGGTCCAAAAATTGTTATCAACCAGAAGTTTTCTTAATTCGATCATTATGTTATAACTAAGTTAGCTAATTCTGTATGATATAGAAGATATTGGCAACTTTACCCACTTAATAAAGAATGGTTATAAAATCTATAACACAGGACGACAAAAAAAAAATTATAGTTAACAATATATATACAGTGGCGTATTTACGGGGGGAGGAGGTCAAACGGCAAAAAAAATCTGATAATACAGATACAAAAAATGAACTTCATTTTAAAAATGTTGATATTGAACTTTATTTTAACCGCTCGTTAACGAACGTAGAGAAAGAGGAAGTTCATTAAAACATTTGTAAGCCCGAACCTACTTTTGAATTTCCTAATACTGTAATAATTAGTGCTAAAGATAAACGATCAAAAAATTAAAAATTTCAATACAAATAGTTGTATACTGTTCCCTGGTTAGCGTATTCTGCTAAATTAAATGGCGCATTTTGTACGTTTTGTGTAGCATTTGCTAAATCAGGAGCTGGAATAAATTCTCAAACACTATTCGCGCTTTGGTTAGGAAACCTTTTCAGAATTGGAAACGATTAAAAATCATAACACACTTCAGTATCACAAACAATCCGTCTTAGATGCAGATAATTTCATAGATATGAAAAATAATATACATCTGTCTATTGAAAATCAATTAGACACTGCTCGAACACGACAAATTTTTGAAAATAGAAAAAACATTTCTCCTGTTATTGAAACAGTTATTTTATGTGGTCAACAAAATATACCTCTACGAGGTCATTGCGAATTTGGAAAATTAACCGTTCATAATACCGATATAAACGATGGAAATTTTCGTAATTTATTACGCTTTAGAGCTCGCGTTGATGCATCTCTAAAATTATACATATAAAATATACAAGTCCTATTATTAAAAATGCTATAATTGATTCATGCAATTCAATTTTACTCAATAAAATAGTCGGCCGAGTAAATGAAGCCGAATGTTTTTCAGTTCTCGTCGACGCAACTGCAGATATAGCCAATTTCGAACAGGTGTCTATTTGCGTTCGATATATTGATTTAAAAACATTTGAATTACATGAGGATTTTCTACAGTTTGTTCCGACAACTGATGCATCTGGAAAAGGTTTATCACGACTTATACTTGACAATCTCAAAACATTTGGTATAAATACACAATATATCCGGGGTCAGGGATATGATGGTGCAGCAGCAATGGCCGGGAAGTATAATGGAGTACAAGCTTATGTAAAAAAAAAGAAAATCCTTTAGCTGTATACGTACATTGCTCTGCACATTCCTTAAATCTTGTTGTATCGGTATCTTGTAATGTTTCTCAAATACGCAATTGCATGGGGACAGTAGGAAAATTGAGAGACTTTTTTGTGTTTCCAAAAAGAAAATCTGTGCTGTCAGAAGTTATCGAAAATACAGAAAATAATATTTCTAAAAAGTCGTTAAAAAGAAACTGTGAAACTAGATGGATCGAACGATATCATTCAATTAGTGATTTTTTAGAACTTTTTGAGTGTGTAGTAGATGCCCTTGACGAAATTTGTGAGTGGGATAATACAGACACGTCGAATCAAGTAAGGGCATTCTGAATTACAATCCTCCAACAGGAATTCATAATTACGTTAGTTACTATTTCCAAAGTACTTGGATTAGGACTTCCACTGTCAAAACAGTTTCAAAAAATTGATATTGATTTAAAATTAGCTATGGATTTAGCTCAAGATACTTTGACCGAGTTGGAGGATTATAGAAAGCACGCACAGAAAAATTTTAAAGAAATTTTTTCAGCTGCCGAGAAAATTGCTGACAAATTTAATGTGACAATGAGTATTCCAAGAATTAGTAAAAAACAAGTACATAGAATAAATGTACAAACTAATAATCCTGAAGACTATTTTCGCATATCAGTTTTTATTCCATTCTTAGACTTTTTTATAAGTCAATTAAAGTTTAGATTTCTTGATCATGTTGATATTTTATCAAGTTTGCACTCTCTATTCGACAAAATTTCTACAACAGAAGAATTTAAAAAATTGGCTGAATTTTATGAAGAAGACTTAAACGGTAATAATTCGATATTAGAAGAATTCCAATTATGGCAGAGGAAACTTAAAAAATTGGAAATTAAACCAAAGAATTCTATTGATGCACTAAAGTTGTGTAATGCAGATATATATCCAGGCATAAATAAATAATTTCAAATTTTGGCTACGCTTCCTATATCTTCAGCATCAAACGAGCGGACTTTGTCATCTCTCAAAAAAATCAAAACATATCTACGAAATACAATATCTGAGGTAATAAAATGTTATAAAGAAATTTTAATATAAAAACTAATAGATTCTTGTAATTATTTTGTTTTAGAAAAGATTAAATGGATTGACGATGTTAAACATTCACAGGGAAGTTGAAATTAGTGTTGATGAAGTGATAGATGAATTATCAAAAAAAAAACAGACGACTAGAATTTATTTATGAAAATTATCATTTGTTTTAACTTTTAAGAAGGTACCTCTAGTGAAATATATAATATAATATTATATGTATAAGTGAGTCAATAAAATTATATTTAATTAAACCACCTCAAAGATATGTCTAGGTACGTAAATTTTATGAACTATCATAGATATTAGATTATAATAATAATTAAAGTATAATGTTAACTATATGGACCCCCCAGAAAAATTCGAAAATACGCCACTGTATATATATAATGAATCCTAAAGAAATTTCGTTACTGATTTTAATTCAGATTTCAGAATTGTTTCATTACATCTATTTTTTGAGATAATTACTAATTAGTAATTAAGCGATAATTACAAAATGAATTTAAAATTTTCGAAACCCTTCCTTGGTTTTTATTACAATTTATTTAAAAAATTAAATAAATTGTATAATTATAATCATAGATTAGTTAAAATTCAAAACTCTATCGAACGAATTATTAGATAAAACACCACTAAAATAAAAAATGTACTGAATAAAGGTATGGTAAAAATTTAAATTAATTTGGCTTTGATGTAAATTATCTCAAAATGAATTATAAATGAGATGTTGAGGTTATTTACTTAAATAATTATAGTATTCATTGAGATATCAAGAAAGGTAGTATTACCAGTACCTTTTCTAAACATAAAAAATACTTCATGATTGATACAAAAATGTAACTAAAAAAAATTATCATATTATTTTTAATTAAGTGGTTCTTGATAAAAAAATCATCTTTTATATCAATGTATGATTTATTATAAATATAGCTATTGGTGTACATGTTGAATGACTAGTTTATGGTTTAAAATAATAAGTAACTAATTGGTTTATTTTACTGTTCAGATTTTTTCAATAAGACTTTTTTTATCATAAATACTAAGCTAGTTTATTACTTTATAATATATAAAATAAATATATTAAGTTAAATAGCATGGTTATTAATTGGTAAATTCTTATTGTATTCATTGTAGTTAAAAATATATAATTTTCACTCGTTTTAAAATAGGATAAAATAATTATTAAAATAGGAGAAATAATAATTACTAACATAAAATTTGTATAATGGCAAATAATAATTAATATTAATTTTCACTGAGATAATTTGTTAAAATAAAGTTTTGATCATAAACTAAAATTAATTAATATGTGAATAAAAATTATATTAATATAGGTGGGTGGGCTCTTCCGCCAAATAAATAAAATATCAACAAAATATTTATTATTTAATCTACCCAAAAGTATTGTATATATATCAACCGATACACACATAGAGCAACTAGAATAAAATTTTCAGGGGTATTTTCTCTCACTTTATGTATATATATATATATATAAAGAATCCCCCCAAAAATTTTTTTGAAATTGTGTAGTTAAAATGTTACTTATTTACTTTTTTAATAAAGATGACGAAATAAATGTTGTTTAATGAAAAATTGTTTTTTGGGATCGCAAGAATCAATTTGTTGCAACATGTGATATTTTAAAATTAATAATTTTTATATTTTTTATAATTATTTATATATTTTTAGGATGGCTCCCTCTACTTGTTTTAATTTAAATTTTTTATCCCTCCACTTATTTTGCATAAAAAAATACAATACCCTTAATATTGTACAATGTGCATTAAGCTTATAAGTTTATATTGGTGTTTTTTATTATAAATAATAATTTTGTATTGTTATGATGTTTTGATAGTGTATTAAATGATTATGTATAGATTTCATTTCTCTTGAAAGAAATTTTGGTAACTTATTATTTACTTGCTAAACATGTAATTATTATATAGTTTTATTTCGAAATCGTATTGTACTCTACTTGATTTGGTAAGTAAGATCGTAGTATCGGAGAAGTATTTAGAAAGGGAGGAGAGTGGGTACTATCGCCCTGGGTGGTAAATTTTTTTGGAATTAAAGTGCGGCAGTATTGTTTTGTAACTATACTATAAAAAATAGAGGGGTTATGTAGGGGTGACAATTGAACTTTACTTAGGACGTCAAAACTCTAAATACATCTTTGCGTAATATATAATTGAATTTCTTTATATATAGTTAGTTTTGAAGCGCTTCAATTATTAAAAAAATTATGATATAATTATATCATAAACGGCTAAACGGAAAAAACGATATAAGATCTAAATATAGAGTATTTTAGTTCTAATACTTATATAACTTTACCAGAAACATGATTAGTTATCATAACGTTATGGCTAACTCAAAAAAGAAACATGAAAATATTTGAAGTAGTTTATATTTTGATTACTCGAAGGTCGATAAATTGACGGAATACGATAAACTTGGACTATTTTTTTAATTATTAAAAACGATAAATTTTAATTTTAACTAACTCATTGTTCATGAACAAATATGAAATTCAAATATGAAATTAGGGTTTCGTTGGTTATCAATGGACGATAAGAAAACAAGAAATTTTTAAAGAAAGCATAAACGACGTCTGTTAAACATTCCGTAGTAAACTGATACTCATTTACAAGTGAACATATATTTTTTCTAATCACAATATAAATATTTTATACATTTTGAAAAACAAGATTCAGCACTATACCAAGGTAAGTAATTACGTAATATATTCCATTTAAAATAAAATGAACTAACAATAATTTAATAAAATTATACTATTTAAAATACTATTTATACATTTTAAATTTAAAAATAATTTAAACAGATAAATTAAAAATCAAAGCCTTGTAAAGTATCAATTTTTTATTCTTCAATTTTAGAATATTTTGTTTCCTCATAAGAGTTAAGAGGGTTTAATACTTAAATAAAGAGCCGACTATATCTGGTGATATCACACCTTCATTGTGCATTACGATTTTAGTGATTATTTATGTTATTAAAATTTCCTGCCACTTCTAGTGAACTATCCAAAAAAAAAAAAAATCGGAATCTAGAATTAAACTAGGTATTGAATTTTGTAATGAGTTAAGACTGTGCTAATATATCAATTATTATTTAAGATTACAAAATATTTGCTTATTATATTCAAAACTAAAAATAAATGTATTGTGAAGAAAATTTTTTATATAATAATCTAATTGCAATTTTTTAAAATATATATATATATATATTAGAAAATAGAACTTTACTTTTATTTATTAAAAAGAATGTACCAATTTATTTGCTTTATTATTATACCTAATAAATAACTGTTCCTATAAAATTTAAGTAAGTATACCTATATAATTTAATATTTTGATTTAAAATAAATTTTATCATATTAATTGAAACAATGAAAGTGTGACGGTTTGGCCGGTAACATGGTAGTGATGTGGACTGTCTCGGGTACAAAATCACGGTCACGGGGGTTTTATTTGCCGGATGAGAGATCAGTTCTATAAATGGAGTCACCATTCCTCTTTCCAGGCCTTTTGTTTCGTAAGGAAAATAAATATTATAAGAATAATTTTTTTTATTGAATAAATAAGTTTCAATATAATTTGAATTATAATGTATTTCAATAATTGAAAAAAAATCTTCTTAAAATTTTTTTCCTTAGATGATTATTTAAATTAAATTTTAGCTTCTATGCGAACCTGAGAAGGTATTAATTTTACCATGATTTATATTTTTTATTTATTTTTTTTGTGTCTGTTGCTACATTTTCTGAGCTTTCACTGGATTGTCAAAATATCACAAATCGTATATAATCGAAGACATTACCCTTAAAATAATTCTTTCAATATGTCAACATATATATTTAATTAGCTTTTAAATAGAAAATGATTCAATCATAATAAAATCTAGTCGATAAGAACTTTTGGACAAGTATTTCGTAAATGATTGAAATTTTTATACTTAGGCTATATATGTTTACTAATTGTTAATAACTTCCAAAATGTTGGTCCAACATTTCGGTTTTTTCATTGGTCAACTTAAGTTTTTTTAAAAACTTACGTTTAACCAACTTGTAAACTAGAAAATGATCCATCGAATAAAATAACTGGTCGATAAAAAACTTTTGCATTAGTATTTTGGAAATTATCAACACTTCAATAGAAAGACTTGAGGAAGAGTTCAAATCTGTTTACTTTTATATTTATGCATTTATAAGCTACTCTCTCTGTTCTAGTATAAAAGTGTTAATATCTTTTAAAATACTGATTTATAAGTTATTTTCGACGAGTTATTTTTAATTTTTAAGCTAGTTAAACTTTCATGTTTTTATTTTAAAAACTAAAATTGATAAAATTTATATTACTAGTAATTATTAGTTTATTTTTTTGTCAAATTATAATTTGAAAAAAAAATAAACTTTATTCATCAGAATCAATAATTTTAATTATAAATAACATTGCTGAATGATGTCAGTAATTGAAATAATAACAATTTATTATTTTTTTAATGACATAATGCATTGAAACAAAGCAAATTGTGCTAAATTGAAATAAAGTATGTATATAATTGAATGCAAGTATTTTATCGTCAATAATATTTAAACCTTTGATTTAAATATGGTAGCATTGAAATAAATGAAACGAATGTAACTCGTCTTAGAATTAAGGAAAAGATAGTTGAATTAATTAATTTTTGGTAGATTCAAAATGAAGTGTTACACAATGTATAAAATATGTAATTTTATTGATTTAAAGAAGGTTATTTGTTAAGTGTACTTATAGTTTGGGTAAAAGTTCCCCTTCCTTGAAAAAAATGAAAAAATCCCCTCTGAAACAAAGTAGTTTGTAACTGGTTTTACCAAGATGGTCAGAAGTTGAATGCTGTTGTACATAGATTCATATTTTAGTACATGATAAAGTGTAATGTTACCCAATGTGAAGCATAGTACAGTTAATTATATAGAATTACGTGGTATGTTACTTTTATACATTTAAATAAATAATTAATTCATAATTAAATATAAACATAATTTAACTATTTTTTAAAAATTCAATGTTTTTATTTTAAAATATTTAATACATTTTTTTTTAATAAAATAAAAACTCTTATCAAGTTATTTTAGTGTCGAAAATATTTTTAAAAATTGATTAAAACTGAACTTCTAATAGATAAGGTTACTAAATGCTTGCTTAAACAAGGATTTATGTAATAACTACTTAATTATTACTAAAATAAAAATGATGAGAATTTATCTTGTAATTTTAATTACAAATGTTTATTGATTAATTTTCTTAACATGCAATATATTTTAGAACCATCTTTTATAATTAATGAAATTATCAATAATTTTTTTTTCTAATACAACACGCAGTTTTAATTAAAATGTTTTAATTGTATTTTAATATAAAATTCATTGATAATAATTTTTTATATAAGTATTAGCGTTCTATCATTTTTAAATTTATTATCATTTTATAGTAGTAAAGATTTGTGAATATTTTAGAACATTGTGTCTGACATATTAACATACCTAAATCTTATCTGCCGAAAAGGCGTAATGTCTATCACATTAATTTTATTTTTATTATTGAAAACTTACATAATAACTGTATACATTAAAACTTTTATAAAACACATTAAACAAATAAATGAAATTTAATAAAAATTCAGAGCAATAAATAAATAAAAAATTTGTTAATTAATAATATTTAATTAACTTATAAAAGAAAATTATCTTATTAAGAAAATGATAGGTCGATAACAACTTTTAGACTAATACTTTGAATATTATTCTCATGTTTATACTTTGGCAGGATCTCCTGTTATTACTTTAAATTGTTAATAACTTCTGAAATACTGGTTCAAAAGTTGTTATCGACCAGTAATTTTTTTAATTAGATTATTTCGTAGTTTATGAGCTAGTTAAATATTATTTAACTAGCTCATGAAGAAGATATAAATATAATGTATGATGCAATTTAAAGAAATAAAGTTGACATCTTTTTAAGTTTAAGGGATGATTCTAAAAAGTAATTATTTGCTAATAAATAAAAAATGATATGTAACTCAAAAAAACAAAAATTGTTTTTACATTATTTTATTTATTTTGCAAATAATCGAGTGGTATATGATAAATCGATCACTCTGTATTTATGTATATTTTTTTGAGACATTTTATTTTTAGCAGTTTTTACGTGCATATTAATATCAAATAATTAAAAAAACCTTCATCCATCATATTTTTCTTTTCAAAAACTCTTTTCGGCTAACTCGGTTAATCATAATATAATTTCATTAAAGTTTTTTTTTCCTATTAAACTATAGGTAATAGTTTGCCAAATATTCAAGCAAAAATTGAATTATTATTTTAGATTATTAATTTTTATGCTCTATCATTCCTTTAAGATATTTTTTAGAGCATTCTACATTTTTTGCATATTTTTTATATTTTACTTGCCTTAGTAATATTTATATTATTCATGTATCTAGTTTGATTATGTATGAAATCTTAATTTTGTAAATTCTAAATATTATTTTTTAGCTTCGATGCGAAGCTGAGAAGGTATTGGTTTTACTAAGATGTGTTTTTTTTTGTGTCTGTTACCACTTTTTCTCAGCTCTCACCGAACCGATTTCTTTCAATGATACGTCAAAAGATCACAAATCGTATCTAGTCGAAGACATTACCCTCAAAAATTGAAAAAAATTCCCTCGTTCCCCGTAAATGGGGGAAACCTCCGAAAAAATTACAAATTTAAAAATGGCTAATTTTCGAAATTTTTGAAATTTTTTTTACTAAAAACTGCCGTAACTTTTTTAAAAATAAACATATCAATATAATTCTTTTTTTTATAGATGCATGATGTCATTACCTATCATTTGGTATATTTTTTTTATAAATCTGACTTTTTACCTGCCTACAGGGGGGGATTCAAAATGACAACTTTTTCACAAAAAATTGACTTTTTCAACTTAAATTTTGAAAGTGTTCCGGAAAGTCTGACACTTTTATATATATCTTAAATTAAAGCTAATGTAATGTTCTTTATTATGCAAAAAAAAAATTTCGTACTTTATTTTGTCTTCAGGGTGAAATTGGCTACCAAATGCTATTATTGTGTGAAAATTCTCAATTTTATTTTTTACATTTTTAACTTTATAATGCTATAACATATTGAAAAGTGTATGGATCAACATAATTTTTTTAATAATCCCTCTTTCATTCGATATACTTTATCTGAATCAGGATATTAATAACGAACTAGCAGATCATGTTGCTTTTGGAATAATCCACCTATTTTTTAAAATTAAACACTATCTAAAGATTTGCATCGAAGCGTTTTTTATGATAGTGATTTTAATCACTGTCAGTTATCGTTATACTTGATCCATCTATGCCACGTCACCACTGTGCCGCGACCCCCCTGTGCTGGGTTTTTTTTTTATTTTTATTTGAATATTACCAGTGATGGAGACTATTAAGTATATCGCACTAACTTAAGTTTATCGTTTACAATAGGGACATATTTTCAAAAATTTGACATTTTGGAAGAGTTGAATATAGTGTATTATTCTTTACCTAATAATGAAACAGCTATTAAAAGTGTTCATAAATATTATTTTAAGTAAAAAAATAATAATACAATATAATTTTTAAGAGGTATATCGTGAGTTCATTAACCATTATTTAGTTCTTCTTCTTCTTCCTCGCCTTAATCTCAACTACTTGGGATCGGCCACCCTTATCCTAAATTTCCACGTGACACGATCTCCCACATCCTCTACACTCACATCAGCTGTCTTCATATCGCATTAAATAGCATCTCTCCATCTCTTTTTTGGTCTTCCTCTACCTCTTCTTCCTCCAACATTCATTGCTACAATTGTTCTTACGGCTTCCGATTCTTCTCTCCTCATAACATGACCAAACCATCTAAGTCTAATTAACCATTATTTAGTTACTTTTAAAAATGTACTAAACATTTTATTTTTATACAGGTTATATACTTAATACCTTCAAAAACGAAATCATTTTAAAAATGTTTTTCTGATGGTTCGAATTAAAAACTAGTTAAATTATTCTAATTTGATTTTTTTTCTTAATTACGAGGTGGGTTTTTAAATAACTGGACTAACGTTTCTATCACCATACTATAGTATGCCACGACATATTTAAACATCAGTATGTCTGGTGATGTTTTCCTCACCATGTCTTCGTAGAAAAATTCAATGAGTTGCTTAATTTATTTTTTTAAATCTTTCAAATTAGTCTATGGTCCAGTGGAGACTTGAAATAATGCTAATGAATGTGTAGTAACGGGTTTACCTCAAAGTTAATATTAAACTGGATAAAATCGCCATAGAATTCCATGTAATGTTAAAATAAGTATACAGGAATGAATACTTACCCACACACTAGCTTATAAGTAGTTTAAACAGTTTAAAAAGGGAATTAAAACGATCCCAGGATGATTATTAACATAAATAACAGAAAAAACATTTAAAAAATTATAAAATAATTCACGAAGATCATCGTTTAATTTCCGAAGACTTACTTAAATAACAAAAATCAACAAAAAGAGTTTGGAAAATGTTACATGAATAATTAAAATTCTGCAGAAAAGGTGCCAAGAATTCTAATTCCTGGTTCAATGCACTAGATCTGCTTTGTCTGTATGTGCGTTCCTAACAAAACATGGTATTGCTGTATTAAATCATATTCTATACATACCCGACCAGTGACATTTTTTCATTACCGAAGGTCAAATTAAAACTAAAGGGGACAAGATTTAAAAGGTTGGAAGCAGTTAAGGCAAAAGTGATGAAGGTTGTAAATCTACTGATGGAAACGGTCTTCCAGTATTAATTTCAACATAGAAAGTTGTATAGAGTGGTATAAGGAAAACTTAAGGTTGTATGGTAAAGACGATAAAGTTTCTGGTGCGATTAATTACTGGTTATATGACATTATATGACGATTAATAGCCTCATCTCATTTACTGACTCTATTATTAGTATTTAATTTAAAAAACGAATATAATTATTTGTAAATTTAGTTAATATTCGAATTGAAATAGTTTAAGTTTACGTATAGCTTAAAGTATATACACTTAAAAATAATTTTTTTTTAAAATACATATGCAACATCACTAATCATGACAGGTTAGTAAAATTTTGGGCGTTCATCGTTTCCGCCAAATATGATTAAAATAGATTTTTCGTTTCCGCCAAACCGATAGTTTAAATCTGTCTATAAATAGAAGCTTGAGAATCACTGGTTAAAATATTTGCCAAAATAACCCGATAATAATTATGTACTATTCGTTTAATCGAACTTTTTACTTTTTTTTTATTGTTATTAGATAGCAGTGCATTGATAATTGTGAATGATTTTATTAACACTTTAATTAACAATTTTTTAAGGCGCATCCTTTTACTATTAGAATTTTTAAAAATTTTAATATAAAATATTTAGTCTTATAATTACATTAAAATATACAGTTTTGATAATGCAGTCTCAAAAAGCGTACGGAATAAAATTGATATCCGTTTCAGAAAAACAGAAGAGACAATTGATAAATTTAATAACAATGAAATTAGCCGATTTGAATTTGTGAAATTAGTTTTTAACAACTATCGAAAAATTTATAGATCATAGGTCTATTTTTTATTATATTATCACGCGTATTAGATATTTTTTAAGCTTATTATTAATATTTGAATTTTATTCCAATGTTTTGATGACTTTTTATTTTTTTATAAACTATATTTTTATTATTTATTATAAATATATATACATACTTAAGATAGTTATCTATTATAATTTATTTAGCTTAGGTAATACGTTATATTTTCTTTATATAGTTATGTCTATGTGATAAAATAAGTAATTATTCAAAACGACGTGACCATATATAGGGGTGGTAGGGGTGGGGGAGGCAAAAATTCTTGGGAGCGAATGTCATTTGATAGTGATGGGGCAAAAAATTACTTTATTTTGCTCAATTATATTAATACCCCACGCAAAAATCTTAAATACAGGCATGAACGTAACATTCAATAAAAGCCAAACAATTTGTTACTGGCAGCTACCTTAAACCGATACTGGTTCGTTGTGGTAACCCATGGATAAAACTAAATGGTTTTCAAACTTTTTAGTAAATATACAGGTAGAGGATTAGTTTGGCGGAAACGAAAAACCGACCTTATTCAGGTTTGGCGGAAACGATAACCTCCCAAAATTTTTATGGATCTTTTAAACTCATCGTTGTGTCATCGCCTCCCTTCTTAATCCTAATATAAGAGCATAGATTCACTATCAATTTATAGCGTTCACGCCTTGTATAAATAAATGTTTATTTTTTTATCTTCCTTAAACTTAAAAAAATTGTAACTTACAATGATTTGAATAAAATAAAATAATAATAATATTCCTACGAAACAAATTTTTTTTATTCCATAAACCGGATATTAAAAAAATATAGTTATCATTTGGAAAACAATAGTGGATGACTGTTTAAGGAATAAGAATAATAAAATAAAAAAATTTTAAAGTATTTCATGAGACGTAGTTAAGGGAAACATCTTCTATTATTTAATTTAACAAAGCAATAGTAGGCAAGGTAGTTCTAAAACTACAAAAACAATAAAATGGGTAAAAAATAACTCTGATCACTAAATATTTTCTAAAAATCGTGTGATTATTATTTTAGATTATGTTTTAGAAGAAAACTTAAACATCAATAAATTATCGACTAAAACTGTAATATATTGATATTATAAGAGTTGACGGGTGATGATAATCGTTCCCTCAAAGAATGGATTTTTGCAAGTCAACTTTAATATTGCAACTCTACTGTAACTAAAAACTTAACTATAATTTTATTTAAAAATTGTGTAGTAATCTTAATTTTGAACCTAATATTATATAATGTATAAATGAATGTTTTTATTAAAAATATTAAATAGAGTTATTAAGTAAAATAAATAAATAAGTTTCAGTTTTGAAAAATATTATGATTTTTTTTTTTATAGTGGAATCAAGAATATAAAAATTAAAATATGAAATATTATAATAACAGTTCTATAAAATCAGACAAGGATGTTACAGAATATTACACAATTTATATTATTTCTCAGGTAATAAGCAACTATATTTGAATAAATATTTCATAGATATATTACTAATGTTATTGTGTCTATGGAACATCATGTGCTTGATTAGGTATATTAAAATTAATGAATTTTAGTTAAACATAGTTTGTAAACATTTTTTTATGTCATCATAGGTTTTTGGATTAGTATTTTTATTAGCACTAATCAGCTGGGTTTTATTATATCAAGGAGGATATGGATTTAGTTTAGACACAACATTTAGTTGGCATTTTACATGTATGAGTATTGGGTTCATTTATTTATTTTCAAATTGTAAGTATATTATTGAAAAAATCAAATATCTTATTACTAATAAGATTTTTTACAGTCTTTAAGTGCATATTTTAGTCCTTATTATTGTGTTTTTAAGTGCTGTAAGTCCCGAATCCTGCTTATTAGTATTATTTTAATAGTATTTTATAATTATAAAAAAAAACTGTGTTTGTATCACCAGTGGCAAATCCAGAGATCATACTCGTCATGGACGTATAGGTACTAAATAAGTATACTTTTACCTTTTCATAGGTTAAAAGAACACTTAATGTAACATCAAAAAGAGCACTGCTGTGTCCTTTTGATAAATGGTGTAAAAGAGTACTATTTATCAATTAAAATTTCTAAACTGAAAAATAATTGGAGTTTACCAATCCTTACAAATTGCAAATTGTTAAAATATTTTATTTAAGTGTATTTTTACATAAAAAAAAATTATAGTAGTTTTATGACGAGACGTGCAGTCTTGTTTCAAAATTGTATAATAATTATTATAATAATGTTATTAATAACATTAGTATAATAATTATTATAATAATGTTATTAATAACATTATTTAATATGTAAGTTTTAAAATATCTACACAGAAGAGAGTAGGGTAAGTTGATGCTTGGGGCAAAATGATCTTCTAGGATTTAAAAAAAAAATGGTTTGTGAACTTTTTATGAAAATATTTTAAAATATTACCAATCAATTTTAAAGTAATAAATATTAAGTGATATTTTTACTAATTTTCAAACTGTTATGGTGAATACTTTCTATAAGAGACTCAATTTAAGCTTAAGTATGACAATTACCACTTACCATTTCCTATTAGATATTAGTAAATAAAATAAATTTGATTAATTTTTGTGTTTTAGCTATTCTCTATTTTCGAACATTTCGCAATAAAAAAAAATCTACACTAAAATATTGCCATTCAATATTTAACGTAATAGTTTTATTGGTTGTATTAATTGGAACATACAGTGTATTAACTCCACATTTTTATTCCGCTCAACCTTCACCATATTTTACCAGTTTGCATAGTTGGGTAGGAATTTCTACTATTTTGTTGTTCTTAATTCAGGTAAGTTTTACTCCAAAAGAAATGTTTTTACACAACAATACATTAATAGCCAGAAAACATAATTTTTATTTTAAAATCTTTTTTTTTTTTTTACTGCATATATATTACTAATAGATATTTTCATTAAATACCATCACTATTTTTTTAAATGTAATTTCAATATTATTAAAATTTATCAAATTAATAAGTGACTCAAAAATAAGTATTTAAAAAATAATATTTTAGATTTTTTTGAAAATTTAAATGTTGAAGGTTATTATTTTATAAATTGTAAATATTAAAAATTTTACTGCCAATAAACTCACATCTGCAATATATTTTAAATCTTGACCGTTATATATTTAATTATATTTATTTTAGTATTTGTACACCTATCGAATAACTACTCAATTAAATAAATAAATTAAATAAATTCGGTTTATCTGATAAATTTAAGTATTCGTGTTATTATTTACTAGTAACTCTTCACACTCGTATATATAATCAGCTAATTGTGGAGTGTAAAATGTAAAAATTATGGTTTATAAAAGATTATGATAAGAGATTGTTAACGAATGATGAGGATGTGAAAAAAGATAAAGAGAGTGTTTTGAAATTTAGTGAATGAGAAGTATCAAAAAGATGCTTTATAAAATATTTCGTGTAATGAAGGAATGATAGATTTAACTAACAAGAAGGAGTCATTGGAGACTACGAGTTCGACGAAAAAGAAAAAAGCCGTAGGACTTAATAAAGAATCAGTGAAAGTGTGAAAAATTTTAGGGAAATTAAGCATAATATGGTTAATAGATCTTCTTAATAAAGTATTGTTAAAGGAGAAGATACCAAAAGAGTGAAATAGTTCTATGGTACCTGTTTTTAAGGCAAATGAGAGATACAGGAATGAGTAAAATATAGAGGCATAAAGCTTATAAGTCATAGTATAAAGATTTGGGTAAAAATAATAAAAAATAATATATCGCAAAATAAAAATAAATTTGGTTTTTAGCTTAGAAAAGCAGTGAGATGGACCCGTTATTTTGAGTGAGACAGCTAATAGAAAAGTATAATAAGAATAAGAAAGAGTTTTGTATGATATTCATTGATTTGAAGAATTGGGTATAACAAAGTGCTGAGTGAGGTTTTAAAATGAAAAAAGGATCCCCAAAAACATATAAAGGATATGCATGAAGATACTTTTACTAAAGTAAAATGTATGTATCAGGAAACAGAGAATTTCAGATTAAGAGTAAATTAAGTTAAGTTCTTATCTATTTTCTATAATAATGGATAAAATTACTAAGGAAATACAAGGAGATGTACCGTGGTGCATGTTGTATGTTGATGATATAATGTTGATATAAAAAAATAGTGAGGAAGTTAACCAAATTCTTGAAATGTGAAGATGAGCCTCATAAGAAAAGTGATTAAGGATTAATAGATGACGGAATGTATAGAGTATAAATTTGACGAAAGAGGTCATGGCAATTAAAAAGAAAATAGAGCAGAGATGAGAATGTTTAGATGGATGAGTGACGAGAGAAGATAAGATAAGGTATGAATAGCATAGGAGTAGCGTCTATCGTGATAAGATGGGAGAAAATAGTCTTAGATTGTTCGGTCACATTATGAAGAGAGAGAAACCGGAAGCTGTTAGAACAGTTATGGAAATGAATGTTGAAGGAATAAGAGAAAGAAGAAGACCAAAAAAGAGGTGGTTAGATGTAATTAGGGGGAATTAAGGATTACTAGTGTGTCAAGTGAAGGTTTAGGATACGGGTGGCCGATCAAAAGTAGTTGGGATAAAGGCGAGAAAGAAAAAGAAGAAGACATGTTTAATCTATAAATAAAATAATCTTCCAATTAAAATAGTTTTAAATTAATGAGCTAAATGAACAAACGTGACGAAAAATTATTATTTACAATTAATTATTTCTTGCATAAGTAAAACTAGATCAGACCAAAAAAAAAAAAAATTGGGTAGCATTTAATTTAATTTTTAATTAATGTACTAATATTTCTATGAGATCACCAAAAGCCAAAGTAATAATAATTTACATAGTAAAAGTGTAGAAGACATTAGTTATTCCGTTTCATATTAGTCGAATATTTACAAACTATATATTTTTGTTTAGAATTTTTCCCTTATATGTATTTCTATTCTCAAGCTTGCTCTTGTAAAATTCTTACTTAATAGTTTCTTAATAGTTATTTAAATTTAATAATTTTGTAAATAAATTCCTGTTTAACGCCGCCTATCAAGTTCTATGTGTTATCATCTTGAAGTGGTCTAATATATTAGGGCAGACCGCAGCAATTATAGGTAGGCCATATAAATTCGTCTATGGTCTTTTGACGTATTTACATAAAAAACGATCATTAAATAGCATTTAAATAGATTGACTCTTACACGCAAAAAAAATAAAATCCTATGATTATTAAATAATATCTTTAAAAATATTTTTCAGCTCATATGTGGCATTATCTCATTTTTGTATCCAGGGGTATCAGAAATGTACAAAACATCTATACTACCTTATCACATGTTTTTTGGATTATTGACCTTTGGATTAGCAGTTGTGACAGTTACCATAGGAATTAGTGAACAAGAATCGTCGGCTTCGTACGTATTATAATAAATAAATTATTTGTTCTGATCTTATAACTTCAATGACTTATTATCAGGCAATAACATATTTAGAATTTGTGTGAGGCGTGATTTGTTCTAATTTTTATTAATTTGTACTTTGTGAATTTTATAATACTTTTATATCTTCATATTTAAATATTTGTGGCTACTCTCATTTGCAATATTATTTAAATTAAAATCGTAGAATATTTTTTCTTTTAGATAAATTTTAATATTATTATTAAATTTAACATAATGATGCAAATAAATTATAATAATATTATTATTTCATTAATGTTTTAACTTTTAAACAAACATAAATTCAGGGAGACAGTTGAGTTAGCTATATCATAATATTTGATTATTTTGGTATAGTATGTATTGCATAATTTTTTATGGTAGAGTACTCTTAACACAACTTCTAAATATTCCATTGCCATAAGGGTCCCTAATTTTATATTAATGGACAATTTAGACCACTAAAAATTGATAGGGTTCTATATAATACCACCAATATTTTAATGTTATCTATTTAAGTTGTCTAATAAAAGTTATTATTATTTTGATTTTAGAAGTACGAATAATTTTATTCCAGAAGGCGTACTATTGAAAATTATTGGACTTTTGGTATTAATTTATGCGTCAATGGTTGCTTATTTAGCAACAAAACCAGAATATAAAAGAATAGCTAGTTCAGAACAAATAACTTTACTAACAGGCACTTCAAATTAATAATATTTGGAAAAAAATAGAAGTTCTTGCATAGTCTTTGTGCGTATTGTAAACTGTATGGAAAAATAAAATTTTTGTTAAAATTTAAAAAATGCGTTTTATATTTCTGAATTAATCACTTGATGTTTAAGTTAGATTATAAAGTTGTATAAATCATTTATAAATTCCATAAATGAGATAGATTAATGTATGAATTTATTATTTTATCTAAATATAAATATTTTTATAACAATTTATAAATGGTAAGAAAAAATTTACATTAATCATCATCCTCTGTATGCTATTACTCGAATACATAATTACTTATGAGTTTTTGGTTTTATTCGGATGATTACATTTACATTGTAGCCTAAAATATATTGAGGTAATAAAAAAGTAGAGCCAGAAGAGATAGCTAAGAGATTAATGTTAACTGAAGAAGCGTTGAAAATTCAAGAGCTGCTTAAGAAGAATGTAGGAATTTCCATGCCATCCTAGAAAATAAAAGCACAATCATTGAAAACTAATTGGGATTTGTGTCAAAAAGGGTTCACCAAAAAAAAGTCACGGACTATGATACATTTGTCAATTAAACTCATAAAAATCGATTTAAAATATAAATAATATTAAAATGTTGTAAATTTCAGGTAGTTTCAGAAAAACGTTAAATAATAATTGTAATTTGCTACTGAAAATGCTAAATTTTTTTCACAAGTATTTCCATAATCTCAACTCGTACGATGCTCACATTTTAATATGTCTTTTTCTTTTTCCTCGTCTTAATCCCAACTACTTGGGGTCGGGGTATCCTAAACTTCCACGTGACACGATCTCTCACATCATCTACGCTTACATCTGCACTCTTCATATCACATTCAATAACATTCCTCCATCTCTTTTTTAACTCGGAAATGAGAGTGAATGAAAATCGACGATATTGTTAATTATCATCGATTACATGAATTATGAATCTTATAGCTATCTCTCCCAGTTCTGTACTTTTATAGTTTTGAAACATTTTAGGCTCGGTTCGAATATTATGCTTCTCCAACAATTCTTCGGATACAATACTTCCGCCACTTTCACCAAGTAACCGTAACTCATAGCAGTTTGTCACGTCCTTGTACTACACCTTATTTTTATTGGATTTGATCAATTATCTTTCAAAATTGGTGTCATTGCTTTTGTGTTTTGGTCCGATACTCAAACTTTAATTTTGCTACCTTTTCGAGAACTATGAATAACAATTATTTCGTCACAAATTTTTTTTTGTTTTTGAGTGTCCGATCTCCATATATTTTATGCTTCTCCAATATAAAATTATACCCAGTAAAGCAATTNACGGACTATGATACATTTGTCAATTAAACTCATAAAAATCGATTTAAAATATAAATAATATTAAAATGTTGTAAATTTCAGGTAGTTTCAGAAAAACGTTAAATAATAATTGTAATTTGCTACTGAAAATGCTAAATTTTTTTCGTTTGAGACAATTAATAAATCAATATGGTCGTTTCGTTCTTCAGCACATACTCTTAAAGGATAAATCAGATGCTTTGGTTTTATATTATTATGCTTGTCTTCCAATGGTATGCCGAAAACACTGACTGACGTACGTGAATTATTGCGATCGAATATTTTTTTATTTCAGAAATAGTCGTCGGAAATTTTAACTGTTTTCCAAAGACTTGTGTTCTGACCTACAAAGTGCTTATTACCTCGTGTCACCTTTTTTGCTAATGTAGCCCATTTAAAACATTGCTCGTCTTCTGTGGGCTAATTGCTACTTTTCTCATTTTAATATCATGTACCAAATATATAATATATAATATTTATATTAAATTATATAATACATAATCTATACATGATGCTCTCTACAGAAGCTGATATTTGTAAATTCCTAATAATAAGCACTATATACACGTAAACGAGTAACTACTGACTTTACCCGACTAGTTTTACTGTTGTTTTAGTAACCTGTTGTACGAAATATCTACGACACTATTAATTACATCGATTGCCTTAACGAAGACGTTTTAAATGTCCAATTTTTAAACTTGGTTTCATTATTTAGTACGCAATAAATCTCTAAAGTTTTAAAGAGGTTGAATTCTAACGACTCCCCTTTTTTCAAGACACTCTCATGTAATTACTGTCATTCGTAATCATTGTGCCTTTATCAGTTTACATCTAATGGCATTGCCATTTAGTACCAATAGTGTTTGGAAACCACTTACATTTTTCGTTCAACTCTTTTTCAATTTTCTATTATGTATCAAGCCTGAATGTTATCCATCAGTTAATATTGTAATTATTTTTTGACTGTAGTCGATGATTTTAGCTTTGATGCGAAGCTGAGAAAGTATTTATTATACTATGATGTGTTTTTTAGCTTCGATGCGAAGCTGAGAAGGTATTGATTTTACTAAGATGTGTTTATTTTTGTGTCTGTTACCACTTTTTCTCAGCTCTCACCGAACCAATTTCTTTCAATGATACGTCAAAAGATCATAAATTGTATCTAGTTGAAGACATTACCCTCAAAAATTGAAAAAAATTCCCTCGTTCCCCGTAAATGGGGGAAACCTCCAAAAAAATTACAAATTTAAAAATCGCTAATTTTCGAAATTTTTTCAATTTTTTTTACTTAAAAGTGCCATAACTTTTTCAAAATTGAACATATCAATATAATTCTTTTTTATATAGATGTGTAATATCATTATCTTTCGTTTGGTATATTTTTTTTTTATATCTGACCCTTTACCTGCCCAAAGGGGGGGATTCAAAATGACAACTTTTTCAGAAAAAATTTACTTTTTCAACTTAAATTTTGAAAGTGTTCCGGAAAGTCTGACACTTTTATATATATTTTAAATTAAAGCTAATGTAATTTACTTTATTATGCGAAAAAAAAATTTCGGACTTTATTTTATCTTCACGGTGAAAATGGCTACCGAATGCTATTATTGTGTGAAAATTCTCGATTTTATTTTTTACATTTTTAACTTTATAATGCTATGACATATTGAAAAGTGTATGGATCAACATTATTTTTTTATGAGAAATAATATTTTTTAATAATCCCTTTTTCATTCTACATACTTTATCTTAATTAGGATATTAATAATGAACTAGAAGATCATGTAGCTTTTGGAATAGTCCACCAATTTTTTAAAATTAAACACTATCAAAAGATTTGCATCGAAGCGTTTTTTTTTTATAGTGATTTTAATCACTGTCAGATATCATTATACTTGATCCAACTATGCTACGTCACCACTGTGCCGCGACCCCCCTGTGCTGGGTTTTTTATGTCTGTTGCCACTTTTTCTCAGCTCTCGCCGAATCGATTTCTTTCAACAATACGTCAAAAGATCACAAACCGTATATCATTAAAGATATTGCCCTTAAAAATTGAAAAAATTTCCCTCGTTCCCTGTAAATGTAAGTAATGTCCAAATAAATCTCGAAAGACTTTTATTTTCGATTTTATGTTTTTAACTTTAAATTGCTATAACTTTTTAAATATTTTATGTGTATCTCTTTTATCCGACATACTTTTTTTTTAAATCGTCGAAGTTGAACAAATGTATTAAATACTTAATAAATAAATTTTAATTTATTTAATATTTATTCATACATTACACTTATGTATCATTAAACTTATAACCGGACATAAATAAGGAAATAGGAGTTCATTTTGCTTAAGGAATAGTCCACCAATGTCTTAAAATTAAACATTAACCACAGATTTGCATCGAAGCGTTTCTTATGATAGTGATTTTATCACTGTCAGATATAATTTATACTTGTCCCAATTACACTACGTTCCCATTTTACCACAACCCCATTGTGCTACCGTTTAATGATTAAAACTGCCATGACATTTTTTTTCTTATATTATATTTAGCCAATTTTCATTGCGACTAATTTAAACGATTGAATTAAGCAACATATTGATTATTATATCTCTACCTACATGTAGGTAACAATATTTAAAAACATTTGTTTGGAAGTACTACATATTCAAACAAAAAATATATACCATTTGTTGTATAATTTTTTTGTTACTATGCATAAATAATTAATTTTAAATTTAAACTATTAATAAAACTAATCAATTTATTAAAAAAAATAACAAACATAGAAAGTAAGAAAGGAAATACTAGTTTTATGTAATTAATAATAAAAAATGTACAATTATATCTTAATACATGTACTAATGAGATCATTTAAAATTAACACATTAAAGATAAAAATAAACACAAATAAGAAAATTAAATGTCGAAACCCTTTGAAATATTTTTGCACTATGTCTTACACCACTTCATAACTTACTATAGTTCTTAATAACAAGTTACTTATATCTAATAACGAAAAAATTGTTTTTTTTTTTTAATAAAAAAAAAAGTATAGAAAATATCAATTAATAGCTAATAGATTTTATGGCAAATGTTTTCTTTAAAATCGACACATACAGGTATTTCAAATATGACTGACAACGCTTATAACTTTTGATACAATTATCATTTTGTTGAATTTTTTTTTTTTAATAATTATTGCGATATGGAACTCGGGCAAAGTATATGTACACCAGTACAAGTTGCATCCAACCTCACTACATACGTACTCTATGTGTTATAATAATTATAACTCAATGAGTACTTGTCTTAAAATTGTACTAACCCGTCAAAATGTTCATCAATCCATTAAAAACTGCAATTATTTATTCATCTTTTTATAGATGAACAAATGATTGTTACCTTTTTAAAATATACATATTAATTAATATCTCTACATTAAGTTGTCTTATTTTTCCAACAATTTTCAATTATACTGGTGGAATCAGCGAGTAGGGAACATACGGGATATCGTGTTGTGGTAACGCCGAATAACTTGCTGGTGACTGGACAGTGTCGTTGGACGCCGGCGTAGATTGCAAAAGTTCGGACATGAAGCTGATGTATGTGATGGCTAATCGCAAAGTTTCTATTCGTGACAAGCGTTTTTCATACGCAAACGTTGGTACTTTGCGCCTGAGCTTGTCGAACGCCTCGTTCAAATTGTACATGCGCCTGCGTTCACGTATATTGGCAGCGCGACGTTGTGCTAATGTAGCAACCCGACGTCTTATTTTCTTTGAAGTCGCCATTGAGGACTTCTGCAAGCTGCTTCTAAGAAAATATTGTATCATAAATTAAAGACACGTCCAAATAAAATTGAAAATAAGTTTATATAAATTGAAGTGCTTCAATCAGATAAGTCATTTTATACAGTGTCACTCTGTTACCCGGCGGCAATTGTGGAGGGCCCTCGGATATTTGTCAACTTTGACCACATGTATTATGTGGTATATAATTATATTAATTATTAATACCACAGGTCATTGGTACCTAATCCATAATATAAATCATGCTGAGCGGGAATATATAAAACATTATCGAAAACAATTAATTTATCAAATTTCATTTATTAAAAAATAATGCATTTTTTAATTCAAACTCATAAAAAAGTTTATTAAATAGATGCATCGATTTAATTAATTATTTAGAAGTTAAAAATAATATCCCTATATTATTATAATTGTATGCAACATAAAAATATTAAGTTTTACATACATGTTGAATAACTTTTCAAACGTTAATTACGAAAATTCTATATGGAAATATCCTATTGACAAGGATATGCTTAATTAATTGAAAGGCTTGGAATTTAAGGGATATGAGATTTTAGTTTTAAAAAAATTGAGTTTATAGTTTCTGTTTTTCATATAGAACTCTATAATGCTAACTTATACTTTGTTTAATTTATAATTATAGTGTGTACCTATAACTTAAATAAATATGAATAGTTAGGTGACGGTTTGGATATTTTTAAATCTTTAAATAAAAATAAACTTTTCTAAAAAAGTAGCTTATTTACAGACAGTGCAAAAAGTTTGAAACTCCCCATTGACATGACGATACCTTAAAACAGGGTTGACAAAAACAATGTACCCAAAAAAATCGACAGTCTATATTGACTAAATTCGAATAATTTTTTCAAAAACCCATATAAACTATTATGTTTTCATTAAACATAAAATTTTTTCATGTCTTATGGAAGCGTGAAGCTCTTTACCATTCTTTCTGAAAATTATCTAGTATCCTTCCATAACAAAATTAGAAAAAAACCCTGAAGCTAAAATGTTCCACTAAAAATAATACTTTATTGGAAAAGTTAGTATGGACATTTTTGTATCCTAAAAAATGTTAAATAATAAAAGAAATAAATTTCACTAAGTAATTTTATAAAAAAAAAATTTCCAGTACATTTAGTATAATAATTAAATAATAATAATAAGGGCAGTTTTGTCTATTTGCTTATTCCCAAATTTGAGCTATAAAATGTGTTTATCAATGTGAAAATATTCTCATAATTGAAAATTGTTTCATGAATGTCACTCGACTTTAAACACTTAATAATGTCTAATGCCTCTCTAAAAATTGTTTAACATTCAGCAAACTTTTAGTAATAACAGTAGTGGTACGCAATCATAAATTTAGTTGATAATTATTATTTTTATTTATAAATTCCTTTTATTGCTTAAATAATGCGCATTAATTTTCTTGCATTTTAACAAATGTTCGTACGAAATTTTAAACATTGAAATAATTAAAATTTTTATTGAGATTTCAATGTTACAATTTTATATTTTAATTTGTAAAAAAATGAGATGTCCGACTGTTAATTATTTATTTATCAATAAAATGTTTTGTAATATACAGTCAAAAATATGTGTGTATATTAATAACGAAAAATTTTTATAGTCTTGAATATGAATAAGATGTAAAAATTAAAAATTCATTGACACAAAAAGTTTATATTGACCAATATTATAATATTGACATATTACGGCTAGTAACTTGTGTCAGAAACTTTTAAATTTCGATTTTATATTATTATGAAAACATTTATAGTCTGATTAGTTGAATTGTACTATTATAGCAAATGTATGTATTATTTTCAATACCTTGGGATAGAATTTTGAGCAATGCCAGACTGTTGGGAATGATTATGCGCCATAGGCCACATTTGAGGTACTGCAGGTGAGTGTTGATGAATATGGTGATGGTGTAAATGATGGTGATGATGGTATAAATGATTGTCAGGCCAACAATCATCGTAACTTTGGCTGTCCTTTTATAAAAGTAAAGAGAAAAACGATATATTCAATCAACAATAATTTATAAAATATATTTATCATAGATTTCTGTGTATAAATCTAAGTTTTAATCATTGGCGGATGTTTTATCCAGGCGGATGGCGTAGGGAACTTGTATTTGCCTTAAACTATCGTCGTTTACTAAAATAAATGGAAAATGGTCTTAGGATGATAATAATGGCGACAAAAAATTGATACAGTAACTAAAAGTTTTTTTGCGCCCTCGCCCTCATGAAAAAATTCTGGATCCACGCCTGGTTTTAATATTGAATCACTTTTAATTCTATAAAGTAAGAATGTAATAAATGATTTCAATTAAGCCAAAAACTTTAATCACTAATCAAAATCACTATGATTTACTTATACAGACTCTATTAATACATTAATTATAAGACTATCGAAACAAACAATCAAATTACCTGATTTGAAATTTCTTTTCGTACATTAAGTATTTAGATAGAATTATTTACTTACGGTATTCACTATACTTGCATCCCAAGCAGTTCCATGGCCCGAAGGCATAAATCCGTTGCTCATCATACTGATGAAGAATCAAATATAAGAGAAAATGTATAGTGATTTTTGAGGAACTGCCTTGTTCCATTTTAACCAGATCATCGGATTGGCGCAGTCGTTAACCAATGAGAAAGGACGCAGGTGGTGAACAATTTACCGCCCTTCGGGATTTAATAAAACGAAAGCAACTAAATGTAGCTGATTATGTACATCAAATCTTATACACAATTTTATTATATATTTGTCTTAAAAAGAAATTTTGGATTAAAATGTAAAGTAGAAATCTTTTGAAAATATTCTGAAATTATATTATTTTGTAAATACTTGATTTTTATTTCTTTTAAACTTTTTAAACGAATAGTGAATACCACAAACATATAATTTATTTTAATTGTTATCATTATTGATTTCACTAATTATCAATGCCATAAAAATGAAAAGTTACAATGAAATAATCAATACTAATTTTTGTATATTTTACTTTTTGACTTCCGATCATTTTTTGAAATTCAAACATTGAAAATAAATAAATAATTATAATTTTTGTTAGTACTATCATAGTAAAATATAAAAACAATGCAATAAAGTAATTGTTTATTGTTAATTACTAGAATTATTCTAAAAAATTAATAATATTGAATTTTTCTTTTGTTTAGTATTTTTTATTTTTCGATTTATCAATTATTAAGTAATTTTTTGGTTAACCTATTATAAGGGTGTTAACTTTATTTATTTAAGAAATCATATACATGTTTTAATAAATTATTAAATGACAGAAAATGATCCAACTACAAAAATTACTTGGCAATAATAATTTTTTAACCAGAATTTCAAAAATTATCAATATTTTTAAATGTTATTTGGTCATGTCATTTTTATCATTAAACATTTTTCAGCTGTAATTCCTCCTCCTGCTTAAGTAAAGTATTCATAACTTTAAATACTAGTCCAAAAGTTACTATCAACTAACTATTATCTATTTTATAAGCTGGTTAAGAATGTATGTTTTTTATTAACAAATATAAAGTCGACACCTTTGTAAGATTAAGAGGTGAACCATAAAAGTACTAAATAATTGATACATCGATAAATATATATATAATAAATAAAAAATATTTCTAGAGTTGGTACCCATATAGACCTAAAAAATATTTAACTGCTTATAAATCAAGAAATAAATACTACTTAAATAAGCGAAAAAATAAATTTCAAAATTATTATTATTTTAGAAAAAATCTAAAGATCAACAAATTATATAAGTTATTTATAAATTATAATAAACAATTTTTTTATGGATAACTTGAGCTATAATCGAACCAGACCACGACCTAGATTGAAATTCAAATATTTTTAAGTTATAAAATTATGAGTAAACAAATTATTACATTTGTAGTAATTTTTGAAAATATTTATTTATTTTAATCCGTCGTTGTAAGTTTGAATATCATATGGCCATATGTACAAACAATAATTAAACTTTACAACACTGTTAACGCAGTTATAATGAAAAAAAATGAACACTAAAAATTTGTCCGAACACAATAGTACATATTGCTATTTATAATTTGCATTCTGAACACAGTCATATGCGCTGTATAAATAAAATTGTACAATTGTAATACTTAAGTATTAAAATAGTATAATCATATATGCTGGCGATTTTGTATTCCTCACTTTTATTTAAATAAATTAAAATGTAAATAAAAGACCTATCCTATTTTGAAAATAGTACGTAAAATGTGGGCAAGTATTAAATGAAATTAATGTATTTCATATTAATAAATTATTTAAGAAAAATTTAAACTCTTTGGTCAAATTTTGAATATTTTATTTAATAGCATTATTTGGGGTGCGGCTAGTGCCTTTATTTTTGGCTTATCAAATACTCTTACTAGTGCCAAATTCATATAATGTTAATTGTAATAAATACCCAGGGAGCTATTTATAGCTCTTGTATAACCCCCTTTTGCTATATCAGTGTTTCTGATTGTGCTATATTTTTTTCTAAGTGTGCTGGACATCAAATATCTATCAAAATGTATATACAAATTTTTATATCTGATTTTATTCCTAAAGAAATTATAGTTCCTTTAGAAATAAAATTAGAAATCAAATCAATTTCACATAATCTATATGTAAACTGGGACACAATTTATTCAAGATTCCTTTTTGGGAGCCAATATGAACGTGGTCTAGACATCAACTTTGAGGGTAATACTGGAGAAAATACTAACATTTACACGAGAATTAGAACATGTACTTTAAGGCTTGACAAGTGCAAATGAAGCTCTGGATATATTAACAAGAATTGTCGGCATTAGGCCTTTCAACTCCCATGCAATCATTATTTTGGCATCCTATAAAAAAATATATGACCTATTTTTTTTTTGAACTGACGAATAAAAAAAGTTTTCAGTTCTTGAAAATGATATCGAAGTAGGAATTTTCTTGCTGGAATACTGATCCTTTATATTTTGCTACTCTATGTCGATGATCACACTAAAAGCCTACTTTGTTAACAAGACCTAAGTTATTACAAAAATTCTATTAGCAGTAGGATGCATTTTTTTTTTTTTTTGTAAAATAATTACACATTTTTTATTGATAATTTTACTTTGATATTTCTGATACTAGTAAGATTTTAAATCCCTTACTAAAAATACATTAACATATGACAAAAAGATCATTAATGCCATCAATGCGCGTAGTTCTTCTGTTAAAATTTCCAAAATTTTACGGAGATCTTATGGGTCATTTTAAACTATTTTCTTATGTTTTAAGCATGTTTTTTTTACAATCGTTGTAATACGTGAGGCTTAATATATATGTTATTATGCAATCTAAGTTTTAGAGTAGATATTTCAATATTATTTCAAAATTGGATTCCACGTTTAAATTCGTGCAAGAATTGTCTATTTTAAAACAATAATTAGGATATATCTGTTCATTGTCTCATTTTAAATTTAGATAAATAATAAATACTATTTAATTGTTAATAAAAATTGTATATCATATGATAAATTCTACGGCATAATTGATATTTTATCGATAATAACCTCTAATTTTATTATATTTATTATTGTTTCATTGACGAAGAAGCCATTTTATGAGTAAATAAAAATGATTTAAGATAAAAATTTGAAATAATATATTATAATTCAGTTATTTTAAATGTATAATATATTATTTATCTAAAACACTTATGTCCATCACTACTGTGAATTACTTTTTTTTTTATTAACAGTGCATTGATATCAATATTCTTTTTACGTGTTTAGCAACCGAAGTCATGTTTGTTTTATACTTAATATCATGAAACAACAACGTGATTATTAAGCGAATGTCTCTTAAATCTTGAACTCTTATATCATAAGATTTTATTATTGTTATTAATCCCTCAATTTAATCATAATATTTATTTATAACGCGTTGTTTTTAGTAATGTTAAAATTATTATAAGTTATCACAAATTGTAGCCGTGTGTGTTAATTGGTGACAAAATAAATCTTTTACTATTAAAATGGTTTATTAATAATGGCAGTTTTTTATTTTAATTTAAATTTACATATGAACTCATAAAAATGTTATAAATATTAAATTAAATTGTTCACAATTTTTTCCCCGTTAGCTAAACTATACTTAAAAAGTAAATTATAATATAACACATTTCAACAAAATATTTTATTGTTATGCTTTTGATCTTTTCATATACTCTATTTATACTCAAACAGCTAAGAACATAATTTCATTAGTTATGCCATCATCATACGCGTGTCGAAACGCACGTCAAATTTAATAAATATTTTAGGTCTTTGCCCAACATTTATGATTGTTAGCCCCAATACATTTATTTTGATTTGTTCGCAATGACACACTGCAGCAGCCCCTCCGTTTAACCGCGTGTTATGATACGATTAGCATTGCACCCCTAGTTGACTTTCGAATAGCATCTGCTGCTCGCCGCATCCTCTCCACTTTGCTCTCTAGTCAAGTGTATTATACGAATATCCCTCCTATTGTTATTAGTATTTTTACGCAATATTAACTAATTTGCATCGATATCAAAACACGAACCATACAAAAAGTATTATGAATGTGTTCCACTTAGCTTTTAGCTGTCGGAATTTACTGCGATATAATCATGACATTATCAGATATTTTGCCCTAATAGTGTGTTTTAAATAACAAATATTGTTTAATAGATAACAAATACGCAATACAAATATTAACCCGTCGTTTTTATTTCTTAAAAGTCGTACATACATATCACGTAATGAAAATTTGATGCATATCATTTGCAATCTTCGGACAGCTGTAAACTCTTTAATCGCATATACATTAAGGTTATGATTATTTTATTTTATTAGAAAATCGAGTAAAAAAGTGTCGTCAACAAAAATGACACATTATACACAGCTAATATCTATGCGGCTTGCACACAATGTGGACACATGAATTCCCCTCTAACTTGCCTTTGTTGCTTTTGTGTAGCTTTTATTAATTTTATTAAACAGTACAATGAACCATGATTTACAAATGGACATTTAGTTAAGCGTAACATAATTGTTATATATCCGTGAAAACAATAAATATTTATAATGGTTATAAAACTTTTTTTATTAAATATGATTATCACAAAATTGTCAATCTTATTTCGATTAATAAAACTAAATATAGCTCTATAGAATACGTAAATTTTGAATTGTTTCATTTGAATTTGAACGTATAACATTCATATAAATATCGAATTGAAATCTTACACAAAAAATTCCGGAGTTTTCAAATGTATTTGTACCTCATAACTTTGAAATTTTTACTACTATTATCGTGTATTAAAATTAAATAAGAGATTAATTGTAATGATGATATTTTCACTAAATTCTTATTTAAATTTTTTAATCAACAGCAGTAGTGTAACCAGAATTCTTTTTCGGCGGGGTTATAACTATGTTTTATAAGAAAAGATATTTAAAATGAACAGAATAAGAAAACGAAAAATTAAAACAATTGTAATTTAAGAATTTCTTCNACAGAATAAGAAAACGAAAAATTAAAACAATTGTAATTCAAGAATTTATTTCATTTCGAGTGGGAACATACACTATAATAGTACAGCTGGTTTTGCCACTGATCAACAAAATTAGATGTATATGAA